CCACGTGAATATGACCAGAGCTCGTTTGACGTATTGCAATTTAAAAATCTAATAATGTCACGTACAAATGCAGGATCTTAGGTACAAATGTATGACAAGATATTAAAAATAAGTAAGCATTTTAAATAAACTGAAGACGACATTACAGAACATACGACAACGTAATAAGCTCAATTTTATATTTATTTATCAGTAAATATCATATGGGCCGTTGTCTATGCAGTGATTAAACAGTTTTTGCAAAGCTTTTTATGCAATCTACCAACTGGCGTCTTTTCACAAAACTTGGAATCGGTCGAGACCATAATTTGGCGGCCATGTCAAACATGGGCGTACACTATAAATTATCTGCCTAAAGATTTTTTCCTACTTACATATAATATGATTGAAAAATTCGGTAATATCTTTCAACATACGGAAAGTGAGCCATTGAAATATTTCCCTATATAAGTTGTTTCGCCATCAACAACTCATGTTCGCGTAGCAAACTGGGATGTTCGTTTAATAAAGATAATGAATGTCTTGTTTTGAGTCTCTTGTTTAAAGGAGAGAATATTTAGTTAAACAGGGATCAATTTTTGTCTACAGTCCACTTAAGATAAGATTTTTTTCTAGTTAAATGTTTGTATTCTAAAAATAAGAAATGAGTTTCCCATTTCCACATGTGATATGTTTGTATGATATTACGGGGAGTGATCTACACTACAGACTGATAAGCATGTGTAGCGCGTTTGCATACCACTCTTATATGGATGATATGTAGAAAAACAATGACGTATATTGGACATTTTTGTCAAAGATACATAAGAACATTTTGTGACAATGAAAAATATTACCGTGGTATATAGCCGCATATTCCAAAGGAAGTGTATGTCATTTGGCATTTCAAGTTCCAGGAGGTTGAATACTTTAAACAAATTTAAATATTTAAATACCCGGGCCAAACATTGAAGACCCACTACGCGAAATGATCTCATATGGAACTATGCTACATCGAATGAGTTTGGGAGGTATTGTTTATACAGGGTGAGATAAAAAAGTAAAACGCCAAAATTTTTACAATTTTTTTTTAATTTTATCGTATGAAAGAAAAATATGTCGGAAATAGCATCACATTTTAGAATAAGTTTAGATTAGTTCGAATTGGTCACGTTTGGCACGAATTAAGGCCTTCAAACGGCCAATGAAACCGTCACACGCTGCCCGAATGTTGCTCTGTGGTATTTTGACCCATTCCCATTCTCCATAATATTATCAGGATAATATTCGGCATTTATTCTGATGCCACTGTCGATTAATACGAGCGCAGAGTGACCATCGGCTGTTATGGCGGCCCGGAACATCACCGTGGCCGGCGCTTGAGTCCTGGTGGCCAACCGAAGGTGCACATTTTCAGCTGACCTCTTTGGCAAGTAAACACGATCATTTTGTTTGTTTACAGACTGCTGAATACCGAATGTTTTCTCATCGGAGAAAACCAAATTCGACAGTTCACCACTTTCAGCCAAGCGAAGCAACTCTTTAGCCCTTTGGAATCTATTTTCTTTACGTTGCAGTGTAAGTTCTTGCATTTTTTGGAAATATAATGGCTTTATCCCGAGCTCATTTTTCAATATGCGACGCGCGTTTCGATCAAGTCGTTTCTTTATTTTTTGAACCATTTAAGCTGATGTTGTGTTTTCTTCCGTCAACTTCCTTGACGTCGGGCTACACTACCAGCATCACATTAAAATGCTGGAGTGCTCTAACAATAGCCACTTGTGGTTTTTCAGCCAAATATAAAGAAATCACACTATCACGCTTGGAAATCTTACCAAAATGCTTTTGTACGCTTGTAAACAATATAATGAGCTGTCACTGGAATAATTTTAGCAGCTGTCGGGCGAGTGGTTAAATTTTCGAATTTAGAATACTTCGCCTTATTTAGAAACTAAAACTGATACACATATTCCATCTACTTAAATTCGTGAAATCTGCAACGTCTGGCTCTGTTCTGCTACTGCTCCGGTACGGCTGTTGGTTCACAAATAGCTAAAGCCAGCACAAATTGATGGTTGTGGCGATCCGGATTGGGCTTCGGTATCTGTTGCTTTTGATATAAGGTTCTTTATTTCGGTTTGTTTAAAATCCCTAATGGCCCACGTCGGCTCTTTATTTCGGTTTGGTTAAAATAACTTTTCTTTCAATAAATGCCCACGACGGCTCTTTATTTTGGTTTGTTTAAAAATCACATTTTTGAATAATGGCCCACGACGGTTCTTCATTTCGGTTAGGTTAAAATCACTTTTCTCTGAATAAAGGACTACGACGGCTCTTGATTTCGGTTGGGTTAATCACGGATAATTTTAAATCAATTTCTTCACTATTGTACACTAACCCTTACTTCGTTCCCCGCTGTTGATTTCTTTCGGAAACGTCTTGCCAGATTGACCTCTTTGCACTGACTGATCCGGATTGGTCGCTCTACACGGACTGATTACAAGCATGGTTTGTCTCTCCCTTTCAGGGTTACCGTTGTGCGACTAAAGTCGCAATTTGCAACCTTTTTGATGCTCTGTAACTCTGTTTGTAACTTTTTTAGCTTTGTGCGACTTTTCTTTCCTGTTTTTCTTAAGTTATATTTTCCTTTTTATTTGTAAATTCAAACTTATTTTGATTCGTCTACTTCGTTTTTGAGGTCCAAGGGTATCTGACATATTCTAGGAACAGTTTTATTGACGATTTTACTTTTCTATGCGACCTTTTTTCAAGGGAACGACTTTTTGTGCAACTTTTTTAAAATTCCCAACGGTAACACTGCTCCCTTTTATATACTCAGTTTCAAATTTCAGGATGCTTTCAGTCGACTTCCCGACTAGCCTCTGCTAACAGGAATTTGTTTGCGAACATAGTGTCAATGTTCATCTTTTAGTTTTGTTTTTTGGTGTGTATAAAAAAAAAATACGAAAGATTTTTCAGTCGAAACACTCGCTGAAAACTCCGAACATTTGGGTACCGGAAAACAAACTTAATATACCCTTAATACTAACGGTCGAGGCATTATTTGGGCCTATACAAAAAAATTAACATACGACCGGAACATGGGCATGCATTAGAATTTTTCTGCGATGAGGTGTTTTTTTAATCCCCGAAGTTTTGGGAAATTTATAAGTAGACTATCTAAAAATATTGAGCTATATTGAACATTATCTGTTAATTATATAAAAATATTAAATTGAATTGAACTTTATAATCATCCAAACAACTTGTCTTTACCTTGGCATTCCGATTAGTTGCTATACTATTTTAGAAATTTTATAAAAGTAGTCATTGTCAAATGCTACATCAATACCGCCCTACCCCATTTCATATTTGTTTCCCTCAGACATTTTCTTCAAATAATTACAAGTATTCGGTAATATTTAATATTTAATTTCAATCATAACAAGAACTTGAAGTTGCAGAATTCCAAATATATTCAATTAGATTTGAAGTGCTACAGAAATTTGTCAATTAAAAAGGAGTAGAAATGAATTCTTGTATTTGATAATTCTAAGTTTTATTTGATACCAACATAATCAAGGGAAAGTAAAGCAAACTCCAAACATTCACTTACATACGTATATGCATCTATTTACTTGCATACAACAAACTTAAATAGATATAATTTGAGATCTTGGAGAAATTCTTGGAAAACAGTTCATGTAAGGAAAGTAAATAGAAAACAGAAAATTAAATAATTTGTCTCCTTCTTACAGGCAGGCTATGATAACGGTATGTGATTACGCTTGAATTCTAAGTCAATTTAGCAATGCCCGTCTGTTGAAATATGACTTATTTTTATGACTATTTTTCCGCTAGTAGGAATAACGGAACTTTTGCCTACAAACGACTAAAATAATAGTTCCGTTCAATAACCTAAATAAATCTACTAATTTTACAAGTTTTGCGACTTTTTACTCGAAAACCATTCCTGAACCCACAAAACTGGTAAAACACAAAACAAAATGGCGTCCTCTTTGTAAAGTTTTTACTCGAAAAGTTTAAAATCCTTTAGAGAAGGACAGAAAGTGTGGCAGCTATTACCAATACCGTCTACCGGTCCAACCCAGGTAGGAATATGGAATGAAAACAAAATTTTTCATTGTTTGATTTCACATTGACATGCCGTGCATATGTTTTACACGGCGGGGTTGATTGTCCCATGTTAAACCAGTGAGCTGAGTAGTATAGTCTGACGGGGCCAATTATATGATACCCTACACAACTACCACTGGACTTCAATTTTCTGCGAACCACTGTAACAAATTCTGTGAGATATCCACCTCTTGGTGTGATTATCATACTACTAAATAATATCAGAACATAAAAATCTGTAAAAATGTTAGTATAACACCCATATCCGAGTATATTAAAAAATTAAATTAAACATTTTTCACCATGATTCCTTTTTTGAGAATATGCATAGAATCACTTTCTAGTCGATTTGTGCATGTCCGTCTGTCCGTCCGTCTGTCCATGTTAAATTATAAACAAAGTGTAGGTCCTAGTCCCATTATGCAAAAACGATTAATTGATATAAGTCGGTTCATACATATTTATTTACAGAAGGACCAGGAGTTTTATATGCGATTTTTTGTATTATTACCTTCAAATTACTGATCATTTTCACTTCCATTATACCCGCCAGTCCCTTCTGTTTAATTGTCCGTAATTTCATGTTAATATCAAGAGATTTTTTTTATTTACCAAATAAATTACTAGTATGTATATCATATTGACAAAATCTGCTCGTGAGAAATTAACATTCCAATTTGACACTTTAATAAAATACTCTGGACAATTGGAAATTTCACGTCTAATTATTCACAGGCATAATTAAGTTTGTACGAATATTCAGGCAGACCTTCAGCGAACATAATTTAATAAAATACTTGAGGAAATCTTACCAATACTCAGTGTTCGCCAAAAATTCAAAGTAAAATAAAATCGAACTGTAATAACAGAAAGTTGCAGGAAAAATGTCACAACTTCTTTTGGATTTACTTAAGGAAAAACAAATAGAGAATAACAAAATGCTAAGTACATTTTATAAAATCTCGTTTATGACTGGAGTTAATATCAAGTATAAAACTGAATTTAAAGATCCAATTAAACTGTAAGAACAATAGTGTGACTTTAATGACAATATTGTTGTTGTTATTAAATAATCGTCTTGTCTCTAATAGGATAAATTTATTTCTCATATCTGTTTCTTTGATTGGCCTGTGTGCTCAATACTGTTTGGTGTGGAATAAACGTAACGAGCCATTTGTGGAATCGGCTGATGTAAGTAATTTTGAATATTTCGGTTTGTTGGAATCGGTTTCGATTTAGATATAGCTCCCATCAGGGACGTTTTTTTCACAGTAAATATATGATTCCAAGAGCCATTTTTTCATTTTGTACTACCGCCACCCCGTCAGACTTTTGAACTTTCCTTACTGGTTGATATTGAAAATGTGATATATTGGTCCACGATTTGGTATATCCCTCATATAGTGTCACTTATTTGATAGCAAATCTCTTGATAAAAATGGTCGATGTCGTTTCAGTTTTTATGATAGCTCCCATATAACTGTACTACCTATTATTCGGTATTTTGAGGAATTCGGGCCTACTTTGGTCTGAAATTTTAATAAAATGCAGAGATAGTCCGTGTAAAGGTTTATCAATTAACGTATATTGGAGATTTTTATCAACGGTGTAAGCATGTTTTGCCTTTCAAAAGTATTACACTCAATGTTAGAGTTAATTGCATGGGGGCAATTTTCTATACTTACAGGCTATCTGTACCGCTAATCAAGCATGGATTTCAATTTTCAAACTGATCTATTTGGTATTTGTACAACACAAATTCTATGAGTTGCTACATACAGCCATAAATGGGTCAATTCTCTATGATTTGGGCATATTTGATTTGGGTAAGTGAAATATTGAAGTGATTGGCTTTTTTCGAGCACATTGTTTAGTCCTTTCCTTCATATACATATGTATATTTTTTCAGCCATTGATTGCAAACAATATTTGTTAAAAGAAATCAAGAAAATTCTTGACAGTTCATGGCTGCACATCAAGTATCAGGTGAACTTCTTTACGTTCTCGTGCACCATGGCTTGTGGTTTTTACATGTTCTCATGCATAGCTGCCAATTATTATTACACCCACGTACAACCGCAAAATTTTACACTGCAGCTGCGTAAGTTATAATTAAAATTTGTCAACTAATTATTAATGTTCGCTAAATGTTATGAATAATTTCGATTTTGCATTGCAGCAATGCCGGCGCTATTTCCAATGTGGCATGATTACGGGATGACCTGGCCATATTATCCGATTCAGTATTTTATTGCAGGAATTGAAAATTATATTTGCGGAATGTGTAAGTATTTAATTTCTTTCAAATAATGCGATACGATATGTTATATCGCAATAATGATAATGGATTATTTAACTCGATTTATTATATGAGCTTAAATGCACTAATATTTTTTGAATTGCTCTACACCTAAGGTGCGGTATGTTTTGATGGCATATTCATTGTAATCGTGGTCCATTGTGCGGCTTTATTCGAAATATTGCACATGCTATTGGAACATGCAACAGATGAACAAATTCCCTCCAACCAAAGAGTTGAATACATTTTATGCTGTGCAAGATTACATGTACGAATTTACAAGTGAGTTCTACATGAAGTTTTTGCAATTACATTAAATTGATTTCAATATTTATAACGAGTGGTTTTAACTTAGGCTGAAATGAGATCAATCGCTGCCAGGGTCAACCACAAAGCTTAAGTAAAAATACGAGTGATTACAATTTCAAACTTTACGAGGGCAGTTCGGAAAGTTCTTAGCCTAGCACAAAAAGAGCGGTATAAACAGAAAAAATGTTAATCTCTGTTATGAACACATGTCAAATTTTGTTTCGATCAGAAATCTTCTTCATATTGAAACAGGTTTTTAAAAAAGACGTATCCACATTTTTTTACAATGGAAAAAATTGAAATGTGTGCTTTAATTGTAAAAAAATGCGGATGCTTTTTTTTTTTTTGAACACCTGTTTCTTTATCAAGGAGGTGCCAGATCAAAACAAAATTTAACATGTGTTCATAAGAGAGATGGAAGTTTCCAAAACAATAAACTTGTTCGGTTTATACCGCGTTTTATGTGCTGGGCTAAGAACTTTCCGAACTGCCCTCGTATTATTATACTCTGGTGTTTAGTCGGATCGTTAATAGCCGGGTGGTTACAATCAGCTCGGGGATACTGGAATAAGTGATGTCGGCGCAATACTAATCGGCTGGTTGGTCTTCGGGTTTATTGTGGTCGGCTTGGAGATACTCGGCTGGCTTGCTGTTGCTAGTCGGCTCGAAGATACTCGGCTAGCTGATGTCGGCTGGTTACAGTCGACTGGTTGGTAATCGCTGGCTACAGGCTGCTCGAGGCTACTGGGCTAGCCGACTCGTTGGTGATCGGCTGGTTCGGGTTCGGTTAGTAGTTAGTGATTATTAGTGTGGAGCTGGCAAAGAGCTTGGCCGAAACGTTGTTAACATTTACCAGTATACGAGACTGCGGACGTAGTTCATTAACGTTCGAGATCGACCCCCTCGGCATGGAAAAGTGGAAAATGTATCCGTATGGTACTACGAAGTGAATGAGAATTGTTGTGTTTGTCGATAAATGCATTGAAGTTGAAGAAAACGGATAATGATGCCGGCTTAGGTTTACTGTGAGACGTTACCTACTATTAGTACTAATTATTGAGGTGGGTTGACATTAACATGGATAATACAAATACGAAGTAAAAAGGTCGTGATGTTCCGTCGGGCCTATCTTTTTTACCCCGTTTGGAACTTTATTTTTAGTACGAAGATTTGAAACCCAATTAGAGACAATTATGTTAAAGAAAATAGGTCCAAAATTCCCAGGATAGCGGGTAATGGGCGTCATCCCGTTATATGAGGGCAAACCTAAAAAGTGGACTAATATTGATAATTTATGATAGAAAAGTGTGAAAACGGGCTGGTAGTTTTAATGTATACTCCACCGTATAGGGGCGGGGTATAAAAATGTTGTTTGAAAATTCCTCTTATTGAAAATTTTGTTCTAAAATTAACCAGGCAAGATCCAGACACTTTAACAATATTTATTTAACAATTAATTATATTCCAACATTTTCGGTATTTTGAAGTTTTCTCTATAACAAAGCAATGCCGATACCTTATATATTTCTCTTCCCAGTTATTATGCAAAGATCAATGGCATGTATAAAAATCCCAGTTTGGCTCAATGTCTCCTGAGTATGCTGGTCTTGTGTGTGGTCATGTTTATGGCCAACATTGGCTTGGAGGAGGACATTACATTGTTTATAAAAATGTTATGTTTTCTGTGTGCTGCAGGTCTTCAAATAGCCATCTATTGCTATAATGGACAAAAAATTATAACTCAGGTATGATGTACAAGTTTTTAATAAATAACATATCACTTCCATTACGCCTCATTTTAATTTAGAGCGAAAATACTCCAAGTGCTTGGTACAACTGTTGCTGGAACAATGAATCGAAACAATTTAAATATATTATTGATATGATGATCATGCGTACCAATCGGACTCTATATTTACAAGTTTCAGGATTTACAACGATGTCTCATATGACACTTTTATCGGTGGGTTTTAAAATTTGATGTCAATTTATTTTCGAATAAATTTTATTGTTGCTGTTGCAGATTGTACAGACCAGTGGATCGTATTTCCTGTTGCTAAAAAATCTAAACAGCATGGAGTAAATTTTTATTAATATAAATTATGGACCATTGTCGCAGGTTCAGTAGGTGTAGAAGTTTTACACACAAAAATATAGCAATGTTATTTTTTTCTGCACAAATAAACGTTTTTTTTTGCACACTAATATTTATTTTGTGTACTTTAATTTAGATTGAATACCGGAGCTATTATTGCATTATTTATTTTTAGTCGGATATTTAGATAATAAAACCTTATATTCAGCCCAATCGCCAAAATGTGGGAAAAATTCTATTCCCACGGAAAGCATTTCTCTCGAGAGAAAAATCCACCAATCGTGGATTTTATATGGCATATATAGGCATCTCTTTTTAATCAACTGTGGGTCTTTTTCATACCTTGTGTACCCTTATTTGTTTGTGCAAATTTATTTGAGTTTGTGTTTTACGAAATAATTAAAAAGAAATAAAGAATTGAAACCACAAAAACGAATAATATTATATTTAGAGGATGTTGCTACTTCCATAGTACAACAAAGAATTTCTACAAAATTGTCAAGAAGACAATTCCGAGATAGCTTTCCAATCCTCTTAAATTGCCACAATCATTGTAAGTGCATAAAAGTTAAAAATAATTGAAACATGTGAACATCCCAACAGATTCAAAAAATACTGCCGGGTAAGCAAACCAGCATTCCAATACTTGTTGGAGGTTTTGGCGCAACATACTCCTACAAGGAAAAACAAGTCTGGAATTCCAACGATTACCAAGTTGAGTACCGCGTTACGTTTTTTTGCTGAAGGTGGATATCAAACTGGCGTTGAAAAGGATTCTAATGTTGGTGTGGATTCTAAAAGGTTTTTTTTTGGACATCCAATTCACTTTTAATTATTTCTATTTGGCTGACTTCATTAAGATGCTCATTTGATGCTGTTTCTTCACAGACAGTACTTAAATATTCGCTGCGTCTCTTCATAATCGTCAAGACCAACAGAGTTTATTGCAACACCCTCTACAGACGATTTCATTTCATTAAGATTATAGATGGCTTCTTCGGTGCTTGATAATTTTTGCTCCTCCTGGTTCTGTTTTGTATTTTACATTCTGTGCAGCTTTTTGCCTTACATATTTTTTTGTTCAGCCCTAACATATTTTAAGTAATTTTGAATGGATTATTTTATGCAAATGAATGTGAAAAATTTAGTAATAAACATCGAATTGAGCACATTTTCCGTTTTTTTTTCCAACACCGAGTAAGAGACATTTTGCTCCCTTTATAGAATCCACGTGCAATGTCAGGATGTATTTCCATCACTGACACTAAATGCTGCATTTGGGTTTTATTTGTCTTCGACCTACAAAGAATTAATTTATTTATATTTGAAAAATCATACTTACATTTTTTATCTCTCTTCGATTTTGTTTGTGAAATATTTTGAGAGGAAAAACACAAATCGAACTTTCTTATGATGCCTACTTTTTTCTCCTTTCTCCCTTTAACAGATATTTTACACTGTTGCATAAAAATATATTTTATGATTGCGGAAATGGGAGAAGAAAGAAATTCCATACGGAATTTTTTTGACGATTGGGCTGATTGAAAAATTAATAAATTTATTGAACCTTTCGGTTTAATTTTTTGAATATCTGCTTCAAAAATTTAGTATAATTAAACTAGGAGAACACTGGAAAAATAATGATAAAGGGCCCCATACGCTATAAATCATGCCGTAATGCCGATGAACCCCTTTGTGTATATGTGAGATTGACTAGTGTATGGCAAACTCTTCAATCACTATTTCAAAAAATCGATGTTTGTGTATTTTGAGCAGCGTTCGAAAATAAACATTATGGTACCGTTCTATAGTGTTCTGTACCGTACCAAGGTGGATAGGTACACTAAAATAACGTACTGTACCGGTACACAAACACTAAAAATATTTTTAGCGTTACTGTTCCGGAGCACAACGAAAATCTTAGCGTACCTGCTGCGGTACATTAAAAAATCGTAGTGTACCGACAGCGGTACACTAAAAATCGTAGTGTACCGACTGCGGTACATTAAAAATCGTTGTGTTCCTCTGGACGGAACACTAAAAATGTTAGTGTTCCGCTTATCGGAACACTAAAAATCTTAGTGTTCCACTTGCCGGAACACTAAAAATCGTAGTGTTCCGGCAGTGGTACACCAAAATCGTAGTGTTCCACTGGTCGGAACAATACAAATCGTAAGTTTACTTGCAATTAAAAAAGTGAAAATGTCCATTTGAAATAGGTATTTTGGCCTGTTTTTGTGACAAAGTTATACAGCTTAGGATAAAATTTTCATTAATTTACACAACGAACATATTTTCCAAAATATTGGGAGATCTCCTTGTAAAATTCTAGTACGAAACAATTATACCTGCATCCATCTATGATTTATACTTTTAGGAAATTTTAGCAAAAATATTCAAAATTTGGTGATTGTCACACAATCAACATAATTATTACCTGCTTATTCATTAAAAGAAGTGTACAAATTACGCGGGTATGAAAAAAATATTTTTATGATTTTGGGATAAATGTTACAAAACCACATATTCTTTATGATTTTAGCACAGGTAGTCTTATGCAATACATTTTTCGGATCAGCGCAATCGATTATCAGCGAAAATGTAATCCAATGGAATTTTCAGTTGCGAGTTGGCATCAGATTGAATTTTCACTCGACGACCTTTTTAGTTATAAAATATTTATTATTTAAAACTGTAGATGCTAATAAAATATTACTAATTTTTAATAAAATATAAACAAATACAAATTTAACAAGTTTTCTATTTATTAAATCTATTGAAAAAAATATATAAATTTTATTCATACAAAAAATAAAATATAATTAATACATCTTTTTGTGTTCCGACAAATGGAACACTACGATTTTAAGTGTTCCGCCAAGTGGAACACTACGATTTTTAGTGTTCCGCCAAATGGAACACTACGATTTTTAGTGTTCCGGCCAGTGGAACACTACGATTTTTAGTGTTCCGGCAAGTGGAACACTACGATTTTTAGTGTTCCGACCGCGGTACGCTACGGTTTTTTAGTGTTCCGACAGCGGTACACTACGATTTTTAGTGCTCCGACCGCGGTACACTACGAATTTCGTTGTGCTCCGGAACAGTAACACTAAAATATTTTTTAATGTTTGTGTACCGGAACACTAACGCTAAAAATTTTTTAGTGTTTGTGTTCCTGGTACGGTACACTACGATAGTGTACCGTTTTTTTGCGAACACTGATTTTGAGTCGTAAATTCAGTTGTTTTTTTATTCCGTCACAATTTTATTATTTTTGTACACAAAATTATTTACTGACAACTTTCAAAATGAATATTATTCACCAGATTGATAGGGTTTCATTTTCAAAATCAAAACAATTTTGATTTTCTTCAAAATTTTCACATATACATAAATAAACTTTCAAAAATTAACACATACTATGATAAATGCTGTACGGCATGATGTATAGTGTATGTGGCCCTTAACAATGAGAGTAATGTAGAGTTTTCGGTAAGTAATTCATTCTTTTTACATGTTAATCAAATGAATTAGTGGAAATATTGACAAAAATCCACATTGCACGCATATCCGCTATTCAACTGAAATTAAACAAATAAAGGTAAATATATTGACCGTATAAGCAACTCAGGGATTAATTTAAATGATTAAATATTCTGCGGCGAAATATTAGTGTTTAAGCAGGAATTGCTATTTAAAATGGTTAAATAGTTAGCCTTTGATTTGAAAGGTCGTAGCCGTTGAAATCTGTCTACTCCTTATTATTACATCCTTGTAATAGTATGAGACTGACAGATTTCAACGGACTTTTGTTTAAATTTTTGAGTTTGCGCCACCTTTAGGCATCTATATGTCAACAAACATTGCTGTTTGTATTACATGTTGACTTTCGTTGTTACATTTCGATTGGCTACACAAACATATTGTTGGAAACACCTAGGCTTTATTGTAAGCCACCACACATATCGTTGTGTTTTAAGGTAATATTTTTTACCATCAAATAAATACTTGGCATTGGTCGAACCCTTTTATTAAAAACATATTGTGTTTTATTTCTCTTTTTAATTTTGCTCACGAGTACGTGTTGGACGCACTGACTCTATTGGGAGAATCCTATTGCACTGTACCTGCCAACCACCCAAGTCCCTATAGTGCGGACAATAACAATACAAAATTATTTTTAACCTATGTAGATTATATGAAATTTTTAAAATGTTTGTTTTTAATGAAGAAAAAATTATTCACACGTTCACGTACTTTAAGAATCTGCAATTTTTATCGTAGTAGATTCTTGCAGTAGGGAACCAGATCAAATTGTAGTAATATATATTGTACAAGTTATGGACGATGACCAATTGCTGTTACATCTGCTTAAAATACAATACATACCTGTTTTTTCATATCATACTTTATAAAACTAATAAAATTTCTTTTTTTATAAGATGTGAATTTTATTCATTTAAATTAGTCGTTTTACATGATATTGTATTTGTCTTAAATACATTAATACAATTGTTTGTTTTGAAAATATGTACGTGTGTGGATGTAATAATTGGTTATATAGTATTTATAAATATATGTATGTATGTCTATTAAAAGTGATATAAACAATGATAATGGAAACATTTCGAATATTAAAAAATCTACGAAACGAAAATGAAACTAAAACTGATTCCCCAAAGATTAACAAAATAATTATTATGATTTCATTTCAATAAAGTTATAACAAAATGTATTTTCTAATTAATTTGTTTATATTTTTTATAGTTAAAATAAACTCAATATACAATTATTTGTAATGGTTATAATTTTAATAAACGTTTTCGAAAAGATAAATATGTAGTTAAAACTAAATTTAAAATTTTGTTCATTTTTTTATTTTTTTGTTATCAAATTTCGTTTCTTTTATGGTTGTTGTATTATTTCATATACGATTGGTTGTAGTGTTGTCGTATTTGTGTTTTTATGTATAGAAAAAAATTATTGTGTAATTTAGAGATTTGTAACTCTGTCACTTGATTCACCACCACGAAAAGCGTGTGATGAACTTGAAGCATGAGTTTGAGTATAGCTTTTCATATTGATTTCCATGGTTGTCAATGCACTGGAAACATGATACAAATTCTCCGATAATATGGCATAAACTTCAAATAGTTCGGATTCTGATTTTGAGACAATAAATGCTTCTGAAAATATTGAAGAAATTAATATTTGTCATCTCCTTAAATAGAAAATAATGCACTCACCTTGCCTATCCTTCATTATGCTTTGTGCATAGGCATTCAATATTATTGACATCTCATCGTATTTCAGACGATTGTCCAGATTAGTATAGCTAAATATAGTCAAATTCAGATTTGATCCTGTCATCTGTGAAACACGTTTATATTGACGAACATGGGCAATGGCTGCTGACCATTTCTGAGCATCTATCAGTTCGTGAAGTGTTGTTTCGAATTCTTCCTGCGACATGGGAATACCAGGCGAGGGTGTGGGTGTATGTTCACCTTCTGTTGAGGTGGAAGTGTCCAATGTTTCCAATTCGGTTTCACTTATGCTACGAACTAAAGCATCTCTCACTAGAGTATACAAATCGGATATATCCTGAACCTGTGCGTTGTAATTCGAACGAAATAATTAACATCTAAATGTGTATGAGAATTCTTTGTTTACTTACGTTTTCATTCTGTCTAAAATGATTGACAACATTCGAGCTGATTTTATGATTCGATTCGATCAGAAGCAATAGTTGAAACATTAATTTGTACAGGGCTCTACCCAAATCTAAAACCACCTCTGTGGATGCTGGATCAAACGGCATATATGGTATATTAGATGTTGAGGCTAGATCAAGTCCCGAAGCAGCAACATCATTTTCACTGAATAGAGATAATTTACAGGAAGACTTTACCGAATCAAGGCACTGCAAAAAATTGAAACAGTTATGAATAAAAAATAAAATGTTGTACAAAAATTAATAAATAAAAAATATTCGCTACATAATTCGTTTCATATATGTTCGGACAGATTCAGATCCCTCTGTTTATACACATAAGTACACAATGTGTGTGCGTGGTATATTAAATTTAAATTGTGACATTTCGTGAGGGATGTACCAAAGAGTATAAATAGTAAGACCACACAGGATTTTTTTTCTTTATATAATGTGCATGTCTTTTTATGAAGGCCATAGAGCCCATCTTCAGGTTTAAAGGTGGTTTGTTAAAATATTACGATGTGAAATTATTGGATCAAATCGATTACCTCCATTCGCTTCAAATGAAATTTGAAAGTTTTAAAAAACAGATAGCAGCCCCAACCACCTTTAGACCTGATCTGGGTTTGGTAAATGTATTGTCATTCGGGAAGATTGAATCAAATCAGACCTACCATTCGCCTGATATTTTGACACTTTGGACCCTTTTACAAATTCGGATTTGATTTAGGATTGGATGAAATTTTAATATACCGTTTGGTTGAAATCGGATGCTCTGCTCGCAAAATATTATAAAATTAATTTCCCTTGGAATTTTTACTATTTGTGTGTATTGAAAATAACTATTATTTTAAATTTCAAAATCAAGAATAAGTTAGAATAATTGCGATATTTATGTAACTACATCAAATAAACATGTACATACTTCGATTTCAATATAAAAGTATCAACTTTGAATAAATAAAACAATTGTTTCCCGTACTCACCTCCAGCACTTGATCTTTGCGATCGAAAAATGTCTCCAAATGTTCTTGCACTTCCAAGACATTGAAACGCAACGTCTCAAATAGCCTTGGCGTAGTTGTTTGATGTTCACTACACCAAACTCTTGGCGGATCTGCCCTGGAACTCAACAAATCCGTAAATAACGAAATACGATTACCCAATTGGGAACCGATGCCGGTAAAGAATTTCTTTGCTTCTTTTGAAATGCTGATGGTTTTAAATGTCAACTCTTTAATGAGACGATACAATTGCATCAACAATTCGGAAGTATGTGCTGATGGTTGATTGATTAGCATAGCCTGTAATTGTTTGCGCCAATTTTCTTCAGCTTCGTCACGTACGGCGGCTCCAAAACGTATAATGCCCGGCAAATGTGGTGAGGCATTACAAGGCGTTATGTCACCCAAATCACCGGCACTGGAACCGCTCGTATCACTACGTGATACCGAATTGCGACGTCTTCTTTCTCTTAAACTCAATGAGGTTGGAGGTCCCACATTGAAACCAGACTTAAACGACTGACGATGATCTTCATCAATGGGCGATTCTGATTCGGCTTCCTCGTCAGATGAATCATCGGCGGTTTGTCGCCGACGTTTGCTTAATATGGGTGTTTTATCGCTGAAACTATCCTCCAATGCTGACGAGTGGCCGCCCTTAATGGAACCGGTGCCACCACCACCCATTCCACCTGCACCACATGTTAGTATGTCTTCGTCACCTTCAAACAATTGATGACGCCGTACGCCCCAGTTAAAGTTATCAGTTGATTCCCCTGCAATACTATCTTCATACTCCAAGAAATCGAAATCTTTGAAGACCGTAAAATCGGGTTGACCATCATCACGACGTGAACCACTGCTCAAATCACCCTGTGGTCCCGAAGTTTCTTCTGTCGATGAGGCGGCCGATGATTGTCGTTCCATTAGATCAGACGATTGACTGAATATAACCTAAAATGTGCCAAATAAATTTCAAATATTTTTATTGTTATTCCATTTTAATATTTTACTTTAGAAAATATCTAACGAACATATAACAAATCGATATTTGTCTCTGCTATTTATATGCAGTTTTGAATTATACAAAATACAATTGAAGTTTTAAACGCTTACGCTTTGTCTGGTGATTACAGATCCAGTTAGAAGCGTAGGACTTAAAGTCTGGTACATTTTTCAGCATGCAAAAGAAAAATTTTAGTATGAAAAAAGACACAAGAGAACAAGTGGAAATATAAACATGCACAGAGTTTATACAAGAAAAATCTAGTAGTGTTGAAATAATAACAAAAGAATAGTAATATAAAGAAGCAAGCATAATCAAGAGATAATAAGTAAGCAAGTGTCAATGATACGCTTGGCATTTGACTGTGCAGAGAGGAGTTGTATTTTGACTTGGGATAAAATTAAAAATAGTTATTTTTTATCATCATATAATTTATAGAAGAGTATCTAGTATTGTTAAAATTATAATAAAGAATATTAAAACAAAGGGGCATGTCTGCCCCTTTGACAATTACAAAGCTTTTAGTGGCTTTACATTTGACTGTACAAAAAGAATGGTCTTTTGACTCTGGGTAAAATGCAAAGTAGATATTAATTTCATATAAATTATACATAAATAATCTAGTAGTGTTGAAATTATAATAAATAATATTAACCCTTTCAGTGTTTTTGTCGAATATATTCGACATTTAAAATTACTCTCTTACTTTGCAATTTTTCGTTTATCCTATGTACCGTTACAATTGATATCTTTGTTTTTGTGAAAGACAGACAAAACTGTCCGAGGGTTAAAATAAGAATTGCTTTTTTTCTAAACTCTGTGCCTTTATATGATTTTAAGTACAAAATTTTAGATTTTTATTTGACACTGAAAGCTTTAAAATAAAGAAGCAAGTCTGTAGTAGAGATAACAATAAACAAACTGTCGTACTTTAAAATTATATGACATTTAAGGTTTATATATTTCGTTCAATCATGTCACGATTTAAGTTGAAATTGTTAAAAGAGTCCGTAAAGCTTTCAAAGATTTACTGGTTTTCACATGGCCCAATAAACAGGTCGAGTAAGAAACGATAATATCGGCTTTTGGTAGAAAGTCCCTTAAACTGTAAAAATTTTTGTTCACGTTTTCACACGATTAACAGTTCGGGTAAAATCATTTTGCTTATTACACGACCTGATTATTGGACCATGGGTTTCACATCAATATATCGAAAACGAATTTGCCTTCAAAATCTATTTTAAAGGAATCTAAATTTGGCAACATTACTGTTAGAAAATAACCATTATTTCGTTGCATACTATAAATTATTTGCTTGCTTATGAAATGTAAAAATATATTTCGTATTTTAATGAGCACGTCATTATCATTACTTTAGAGCTGAAGTCAAAATTTCCAAGCAATGTTGTGCTGACAACGTGGATTTTTTAAATTTATTTTTTATTTAATTTACAAAATTTTTTTACTATATTTTAATTGCTTTTTTTTAAAACACTATACGAAAAATGTTTATGGGACAGGAGAATAAACGTATGCATTTTTCTCTTAATGAGCTACTTTTTCAAATAAAACACCAAACCAAACGAATACGAACACAAGCAAATACATTTGAAAAGCATTTAAGTGATGGGAAGGAAAGCACTTGGCAAACAAAAAATTATATATAAGCCACAAAGAAGTGAACATAAAAAAAATACCGGAAGTAAAATAATGTTAAGGGATATTGTGTTGATATGTTTTTTTCCTCTTCACTTTGAATGTACAAAAATGTTTTTTTTTTTTACCTTTGAGCATATGGAATTTATAAAGTCATCCTAAATGTTTTGGATTTTGTACACATGATTGTAATGGAGGTTGGTTTTAGGAGAAGGGGTAGAATAAGAAAATTAAGCGAAAATACAAAGGTATATCATTAACGTCAAATTCTATATAAATTCATTGAAAATACAGAAATCATGCAACTAAAGGTATTTCTAAAATTGGAAAGAGGTATTATGTTAAAAATAAAGTAAAAATTAAAATTAAATAAAAACAAACAAAAAATGCAAAATCAAATAAAACAAATGTTACTTACCGATGGAGATTTTGGCAAGCCAACACGTTGTCCACATGTTGTGAGTAAATTCACCAAACACTCTCTGACACGACTTTGACACATCCAAGGACGTTTCCAGCCGCTTAATGGTGCCGTATCGGCTGGCGATAAACTGGCACTACGCCTTGGAGAATTGGGTGTTCCCACATTACTGTTGTTATGCATTGAAGATTGTTGATGTAAATGTGAATTGCCATTGTTGTTGTTGTAGGCATTGCCTTTGTTGTTTGGATTTTGTCCAGTTGTACTGCTCACTGCCGCATTTGTGCTGGTCGTTGTACTAGATGGGGCATTATTTGTATTAGTATTGTTGGCACCGCCTGTCGATGCGTTTTCATCAGTTTTCAATAGAATGCGACGACCGATTAGCGGTGTTTGCGATACATCGAATGTAAATTCCATAGTACGTCCGGCTAGTTCCTTTTTACAGAACATATCCGAATCCGGATATGTACCATAGAAAGAGAACGAAAACCCAACGCTGCCGCCTTCACTTGGCGGCACAACTTGCAACGATGAACTGCGCGTAACGATCAGTTTAAGTATTTTCAGGGAATCCTTCCAGTTGGGAGTCTAGAAGTATAATAATTATTTGTCAATAAATATATAACGCATAATAACCAGGACGCGAATGAGGTGGTAACTTTGAATATGGGTAGTATTACATACTATCAAAGGAGGATGGAAAGTCGATAGGGACGGCTATATTACTTTGGTTATATAAAATCTTATATAGACGAAAATAAAACTTGATACGTCATTGTAGACTTATTTCCGAACTCTATGTTAAATTTCGTGTTAAACGGATAGACGTGGGGTATTTGGTACACCATATACAAGAAATCGGGCGAAGTAATATATGAAGCTATATTTAAAATGGAACTGATTAAAAGTAAACTTGACTTAATTCAGTAAACTTTCTAAAATCCTGACAGACGGACACAAGTAAGATTTTTGATGAAACATTAAATCTCAACCGATTCACACAAAGATTTGTTTGTTTCATATATTGTCGTTCGAATGAACCGATTTTCGAAACCACTGTGAAAACACATAGACTTTTATGTCGAAAATTTACGTTTTATAATAGTTGTCTAATTTTGAATATCATAGTAGTTGTTTTTTATTATATCTCAATGTACATTTTTAGATCTAACAAGCTGGACCCGTGGCGCTTCTGATTTCCCATTCTATGGCTGGGATCCCTCCACATTGTAATATTTTTAACGAACTTAGATTTATTCTTCTTCTTAACTCATGGTTGTATCATGTTCTTAACTGACGTTAGCGGAATTGGTGGCTATAAAAATTACTGATAAAGGGACAAAAAATTATGAGTCTAAAATTTCTGATTTTAACCAAATTTTACTTCCTGGTCATTTAAGATTGGATGTGTACTTATCTGAATATCATACATACTTTTATTAACATATTTATTCAAGATATTCAGATATGTGCATAGACAATTAATGTTAGTTCAGAGGTATGATTACGGTTGATGCTATAACTCTTCGTCATTTTGCGAAAATTTCTGCAAAGTCTAAGCAGCAATTTTTGTGTCTACAACCAAAAGTGTTTCTTTTTTTCCATGTATAGATTAATTAAATTCAATTGTGAGTAAATTCCGTCCATTGTATCACTCCAATTTTAATATGGATGATGCGTATTTGTAACCACTTTACTCAAGCAAATTTTAAAGTGGGAATTTGTAACGCGCCTTAGGATATAAACATAGAATACCTATGTCATTTCAGATTTGCATTTACTTTTGATGCTATAACTCCGCCTATGATTTTTCTATCAGGTAGCATGAGGTGCTGTAAAATTCTCAGTAAAATCTGTTGAGCGGTTTTTGACTAAATTATTTAAGTGCAACGGGGAGTGCATTTTCCCCAATCGTACCACGCTCATATTTGTATGGATGATGTGTATTTACACCTACGCTATTCAGACAAATTTTGAAGACTGTGTCTATTACCGTTACAAAGATGTACGCATATTACATGTACTGAAATTTCTAGGTGTGTTCACTATTGATGCTATAACTCTGCATCCACGCGGAATTTTAGAAGTTTATATATCCTATGTTACTTTCATGACATACTGTGTAAATCTAATTAACACCTGCTCAGGGGTTTTTGCGTCTATTGGTAACATACAAACAAACATTTTTTTCTATTTTATATACATAGATAGTTTTTTCAAGGCAATGACAATCCAATTAATTGTAGAAAATTAAAATATTTTGAGAATTTTCCATAATTGACAATTACTTTTTTTCTAATAGATATACAATCTTAATTGTAGAAAATTAAAATATTTTGAGAATTTTCCCATTTTCGCCCAAAATATGACCAAAAAGAACTATGAAGAGATGAAACCATAAAGGTTCGATATAAAATGTGTGGAAAGGTTAATATCTTTCAAAATATATTTTGCAACGTTTTCGCGGATTTTTCTCAAAATGTTCTTTCATTAAAACCTTTCCACTTCAATTACAGACTACTAACAGAAACTTTAAGTCGTTTGGACCGAACCGTTTCTTTAAAATAATTTTTGCAAGAAAAACATATTTTGGAATAGTTTTTGTTTTTTTGATTTTTTTTTTCTTGCTCCATTTATATATGTATATATGTATATAGATATAGATTAAGAGGTTAAAATTGGTGAAGAGAGAAAAACTAAATATTTAGTTAAGAGGTTAAAATAGCTGAAGAGGTTAAGAGGTTAAAATAGCTGAAGAGCGAAAATAATTTTTTGGGATAGTTTACGTGATATATACTTCTTAATATGTCAAAATTGTACTAAAATTCACTCCCAATCGAAATCGAAAAAACGATCCAAAGAAAAATCCTTCATTTAAAATCCAGCTAGTTGTTCTCATATATCATTATTATCTAACAATTCAACTGTAAACGCGACACTGGACTTACCTCCAAATATTTTCCAATCGCTCTTAACAAATCCGCATTTATTGTCTGTGCCTGCGGTGCCGACAAATCCACATAGTGCAGCATACAATGAATAACATTCAACACTGGTACTTGGATTTGTTGTGGTCCCTTCTCTAAGACCTCAATTAGGAAGGCCAACATATGCAGACCCATATGTGCATAGGTATCATGAAGATATTTAACAACACACTTTGTCCATTGAAATGATTCTTTGCAAAATGTTTTGCGGCTGTAGAGTGTCATTACAGTTCCAAGATTTTCCAATTTCGCACCCAATTCGGAGGAGACTTGAGCAATATTTTCAGCACTGCGTATACATATCTCATTGGCATCTTCATAGTGTAAGAGCATATACGGTAGTAGGGCAATAACATTCATGGGGAAAGCACAACTTTGTGTCGGATCACACACCGGCAAATTGAGCAATGGAGCAAATTGTGATAACAAAGTAATGGTGGGTTCATAAGTTGCCGTATGTGTGCAGCCCTGTATGAATAAGAGAAAAAGTAAATAAGATATTATGAGTAATACATTATCAATAATGATCCCTATATGAATGTACTTTATGATAATACCCACCTTTAACAGTAAAGCATGTACACCGGGATAACCAGCCCACTTCAATTGTTGTTGTAACTTTTCAACTTTATCCCTAGCATCGGGACGATCCAGCGGCAATCGATGAAGTACCCTCGTCAAAAGTCTTAAAGCCAAAAGAAATTCATGTTCATAATCACTTTCCAATAGTGATACAGATAACCAAAACAATTGTGCCAATATTGTCATTTTATCATCTTGTGTAGCGGTATCTCCTAACATTTTCAAACTTTGAGCACTGCGTGAACGCGATAATGCCGAACCGCTAACTATGCCGAATTTTGCCATATTACGTTCCATGTCGATTCCAGTAGCTCTGTTACGTAGCTCAACTTGCTTGTCACATGGAGAGTTTGTGGATTTACGAGCGCAATACGATACCGAGTAGCTAGTGCTGCGTGCGTGACTTTGCAATGAGAAGTTCGGTGATTGCGGTGTCATACCTGAGGGTGATTTTTTACCACCCGGCAATATTGAGTTCGGTCCGCCATCTTTGTTGTTTAGATTTGGAGTGCTCTTGAAAATGTCCTTCATTACATCTAACGGCCTAAAATCGGAATCCAAACTATCGACAGCGGCTTCGAGCGTTAGTAAGAGTTCGGTTACATAGCCCTGCATATCTTCGCCTTGTTCGGCAACAGTTTCCACTAAACGTGATAAAATATCGGACAACATGCGAGAGTTGATAGGCACATTTAGGGCTCGGAAAATTTGAAGGCAACGACCGGCATAGTGGCGAGATGAGCAAGAGAGACCCAGTTGTAGAGCTGTTTGGGCCCAACGCTCTGCTATACGGGCTTGGAGGTAGCTATCGGAAAACACTTTGACAATGTGGCGCAAGAAACAGCTCAACTGCTCGGCCGATTTAATGGACCAAACTAATTAAAAAAGAAGAGTATTTTATATTATATATTGCATAGTTAAAGATAGATTCCTCTTACCCTTGGCTGTTATATCTTCGTAGTTCCACAAGGGCTGGGAAGATTCTTGAGCTAAAAATTTCAATAAACTTTTAATGACATGCATTATTGGCATTGTTGGACCCGGTTGGGGTGGGGCATTTTCATCGGCTGTTATTATTAAAGGAACTTCAGAATTTTCGGTGGTATTCGGATTGATTTGCACCATTGTTTGTGTGGATGATTGTTGTTGTTGCAATGACTGGGCCTGTGTAGGCGGCATAGCATGTTGCTGTGTCGATGCTGATAATTGATTAATTGGTGGTGGTTGTTGTAGATTTATGTGGTTATCTTGTTGTTGTTGTTGTTGCTGCTGCTGAATATTTCCAGTTGCAACAATTAACTGTTGTTGTTGATTAACATAGTTGGTAACCTGATACTGTTGTACAGCATACAAGCCGGATACTGTTGAATTTGAAGCACCCAAAGGCAGTATATGCTGTTGTTGTTGCTGCTGCTGTGACGTTGAATTAAGATTCGATGATGTTGCTATTACATAGCAATTGTTGTACAGATAACTATCGAATTCTTGATGAGATTCTGAAAAGAATGTTAAAAATTACTTAAAAGTTGTGCTAGTTTATCCGTAAACCGGAAAATGGGTTTATTAAGAAAAAGAAAATGGAATGCATTGATGTTTTACAAAAGTGGATATTGTAAACATTTCAAAGTAATTTAAGTACATTGTCTACCGTGACAATAAAATGACAGCCGTTGGTTGAGAGAGACTACAGTCCTGAATACGGGATTAAAATATTTCTCTATTGTGAAATTTACATTGTTTGTATTAACGTATGTGAACGCGTATCCTCCACAGTCGAGCGCAAATGTTGACTTTTACACATTACTATACAAAAAGTCGATTAATCGATTCGAAAGTCGATTTACTTATCCCTATGGGGGATATATGAAAATATTTAAATTTCCCATAATGTTAATGTACTATGTAGTGTTATTGTAAGGACACTATAGACTGATATTTTAATATTATAATCGAATCTAGGACCTAATTTTTTTTTTGAAAAAAAAAATCTAAAAATACAGCACCTGTAAAATAATTATCGATCACTGGCAATGATGGCACTGTCAAACCCAAATCAAGCTTTGTCGTCTCACTGTTCAATAGAATACGAGCCACTGTCAAATGGTCATTGTGCTCAGCCAATACAATCTGAAAAAAAAATCATAAATGCAATTAATAAATTTATCACATATTTAAAAAAATATTTAAATAGACAAAGCTTACCAATAAATTCATACACAGCTGTTTGCAATGTTCACGTACAATCACACGATTATGATCCAAACCCAAAAAGAGAATGTGCAACATCAATGGCAAATGAAGAGTCCAATCAATGCCGGGTATACCATCTACCACAATGTCCGTGAGTAGCATAACAGCAACATTACACCTAATGATGAAATAAAAATGTGTAATAATAACAACAAAAGCAATTTCTAATAAAAGTAATAATTAACATTTAATTACGCTAATAAAGAATTTGTTTTTTTTTATTCCCAGAATTAATAAGACAAAAATAACGTAGTTTTATGAACAAATACGTTTTTTTAATTAAATTAATATATAGTGTCTGAATGAAAATAATTGGTTGCACTAATTGTTTCCCAGTATTCTTAGACAATATTCTTCGAAATGTGTTTCCTGGAAAAGAAAATTATGCCATGTCCTGTCGTTTGCATGTTTTTTTTTGTACAGTGTTTGTCTCATATGTAAGAGAGCTATAATATGTGTTATTCCGGAAAATAATCTTCAAGATCATTTAGTCTTATTTCCTCATTAAAAATTAATAAAACTATTTAAAGTGTCTTCCCATTCTCTTTTTAAAAAAATTAATTTTCATTTTCTATTAATTTCGAACCTACACTAATTCAAATTTAAGGGGACCCCCCCATTCTCGGGGTAAAAATTTATTTTGATTTAATTCGAATCTACACTATTTCAAGAAAGTCCCTACAAAATTTCAAGTGAAAATCTCAATAACTCTTGAAGATATAGCCGATTTATTGTGACAGCATCAAGTGGCGGCTAAAGGGCTTCTCAAACTTTAAACGCGTTTTTCTCTTTTGCGAATGGCGGGCACGATAACTCAAAAACTAATAACCCAATCGATTCCAAATTTTTACACGCTTCTCTGTGAGTGTATAGCTATCGTATGAACTAGGATAAAGCAAATCGGTGAAGATCTTCCTTATTTTTTAACTTGGTTTTTGGTCAAAAATCGGCGATTTTCCAAAAATATTTTTTCAAAGATCCGCCATTTTGTTAATATTAGAGCGAAGACATGTACTCTTTGTAACACCGTTGGAATTTTTGGATTCCGATGTTCCAGTGAGGAGTCATCATGCCCGCCATCAACAATAAGGACTTTTCTTTAATTACGAAAAACAACAACAAAACAATAAAACAAATTTTTTGTAAATTATTTTTCTTCTCTTTTAAATCTTCAATTATATATGTGCAAAGTTACAAACTTTAACAAGCATTGGTATTGATTTACCAGCCCATTGAAAATCTTGAAAAATTAAAATCGAGAAAGGGGGAGGTTCCCTTAAAATTTCAAATGAAAATTTCAACAACTCTTAAAGATATAGCCCATATATTGTGTCAGCATCAAGCGACGGCAGTAGTGCTCCTCAAACTTTTAACGCTTTTATCTCGAATCAATGTTTTTACAAATGGCAGGCACAGTGACTCAAAAACTAATAATCCAATTGGTTCCAAATTTTACGTAGCTATCCTTCAAGTAATTATTTACAAAATTACAAGTCTTCAATGTAATTCGCGCCCATTTGTACTATGGGCCACGAACCCGATTTTTTGGTAAAAACACCGTTTCAGATATCTGGAGACTTTGAGCTTATACCAGTAAAATGTTATATTATTGATTGCCATGGTTTACAAACGACATGAGGTGGTTAAAGTCAAGAATTAATTTTTTTTTGAATATAATTTATATATAAAGAATGTGATATATAAAATGAAACTGTGACTATTTACTATATTATAAAAATTATATACGAATAAAACGCATAAATATGATTTTATCCAAAAATATGTACAAAAGTATCCACTTCGTTTTCTTCATTATAAAAATTACATAAGTGCGTGTTAATTAATGAATACATTTTTATTGTTTTTTTATTCTCTAATTTAAAATTAATGAAATAAAATAGACAATATTTATATAATTGAACACAAAAAATATTGTTAAACAAAAGCAATTGCAACCTCACAGTGAAAAGTATCCCCCGGTATTATTTACAACTTAATTACGATTAAAAGTCAATCTTCTCATGGAATATCAAGTTAAATATTGCATCAGAAATGTATGTACACTTTATGCGTGAGTTTGCCATCGTAAGAAATTGAGACCATGCCACGCCAAACAATGATTGCCGAAAGAATACGAGGTCAGAAAACTTCCATCTCTGTTAGAGCACATCTTAAATTTTGTTTCGATCTGGGAACACCTTCATATAAAAGCAGGTGTACTAAAAAGACGCATCCGCAATTTTTTACAAGGGAAAAATTAGAAATGCGTGCTGTTATTAAATATTTACATAAAAAAGGTTTATCGGGACAAGAAATTCATAACGATATGGCGAATGTTTTAGGTGAAAGTCTTCCTTCAACAGTAAAATATTGGGTAGCTGAATTTAAACGTGGTCGTACAAGCATTGAAGATGAACCACGTAGTGGACGTCCAAAAACAACAGAACTTGTAGCCAGAGCGCATGATATTAAATGATCAACGAATGAAAGTGCGTGAAATTGCTAATATCATGGGCATCTCAAATGATCGAACCCATCCACCACACAAGAGTGTTTTAACAATGCACTATGGGTAAAAAGTATGTTTTTTTGGCATAAAGTCATTTTTTTTGTTTTCATATTTTGAAATGTAACTGATTTCCTAAATGTAGACACCCATATTAGAAAAAAACATTTAATATCAATGCGGGTGGCAACCCTTTTTTGCTGGCGAGCTTTAAAAGTCAGCAGTTTGAAAGTCACATTGTTTTGGTACAGCTTGCGGTAAAAATCAGCAAAGTTCGAGTGCTTGTAATTTAATAAAATTGAAAAAAATTTAAATGTGTAATTATGGAAAACGTTGGTGCAGGTATGTAAAATTAAGACGAGATGCCATTTTTGTCATATTTGTCTGTTGTTGTAATACTGTGAAATGTTTTGTTTATCTATAACTTTATATAAAATCTATAAATTGTAATTTTGTTCCGTGGAGTGTAACTTGTGAATGGCCAAGCATTGCAAAAATGTGTAAATGCCAAGTTATTAACAAAAGTGTGTGTTAATTAATGTGTAACTAGCCTTTTTTGTTATATTTTGTGCCAACTCGTGTTTTTTACTGATAAACATGTGTTTGCCCATGCAGCGCTTTTTGAAATTTGGAGCAGCAACAATCGCTCAGAAGATGCACTTGTGAAATATGTGTTACAGAATATCAATAATATCAGTTTAAATGAAGACCAAATGCGTTTGATATCGAAACAAGTTAAAGATTTTGTTAATTATATAAAAAAACATTTGCCAAAGTTCAACCGTAAATTAGAGCGATTTAAAGCTAAAAATTCAATATGGCTTAGCAAAAGTATAATTATAGTAATGGATGAGCAGTATGTTTCCCCAAACAAAATAGGTCGCCCAAAATTAAATTATGAACATGCTGAACCTAGGCTAAAAAGGAAATTAGCCTCCGAAGTTGCTTCACAAAATACGCTATATTATTGCTGCTACGGTTTCAGCCAAAATATTCAACGACAGAGACATGGCCTTTGTTTTGAATAAAGCAGTCAGTAATAGAAATATAGCCGAAGTAAGGAACAAACATTTTGTTATATGCAGTTATATGAAATAGTGTCCCAAATCATATGAAAATTGGTAGGTCATCTTGGGATCATAAAAAAATGTATACAAACCAAATTTCACTTCAATAGCTTTATAAACAAAAAAGTCGGGACAAATCGGCCAGATCGGCTATATGGCAGTTATGTGAAATAGTGCCCCAAATCATATGAAAATTGGTAGGTCATCTTGGGAGCATAAAAAATGTATACAAACCAAATTTCACTTCAATAGCTTTATAAATAAAAAAGTCGGGACAAATCGGCCAGATCGGCTATATGGCAGCTATATGAAATAGTGCCCCAAATCATATGAAAATTAGTAGGTCATCTTGGGATCATAAAAAATGTATACAAACCAAATTTCACTTCAATAGTTTTATAAACAAAAAAGTCGGGACAAATCGGCCAGATCGGCTATATGGCAGCTATATGAAATAGTGCCCCAAATCATATGAAAATTGGTAGGTCATCTTGGGAGCATAAAAAATGTATACAAAACAAATTTCACTTCAATAGCTTTATAAATAAAAAAGTCGGGACAAATCGGCCAGATCGGCTATATGACAGCTATATGAAATAGTGCCCCAAATAAAATTATGGTCATCTTGCATAAAAAATGTATACAAACCAAATTTCACTTCAATAGCTTTATAAATAAAAAAGTGCAAATCCCAATCGGCTATATGGCAGCTATATGAAATAGTGCCCCAAATCATATGAAAATTAGTAGGTCATCTTGGGAGCATAAAAAATGTATACAAACCAAATTTCAATAGCTTTAAAATTAGAGTTTATGCCAAAATAAACGTAAAAAAACCATAGTGCAATGGCTAAAATCAACGAATTCAAGTACGAGTTGCTTGACCGCCCACCTTTTCTCCTGATTTAGCTCCCAGTGACTTTTACTTGTTCCCAAATCTAAAAAAAATCCTTGCTGGCAAGCGTTTTACCTCAAATGAAAATGCAATTACAGTTGTGTTATGTTGAAAATTAAAAATGGTTTTGAAAAACTAACTATTCTCTTTCATTGATAGGCAAAGAAGTTTCCGAACCGCCCTCGTAGTAGTTCTTCACCATGCTGAACTAGAAAAATCTCAACGGAAAATAGCGCAAATTCTCAATATTACCCGATCGCTGTTCAAGATTATATTTATTTAAAAAACCGAGAATCGAATTTGCAATAAGTCTAAAACCAGCGAGAAAATATAAGCTACGAAATGTGATTGCTCCGACAAGTGACCGATAAGTGCAACTAAACTTGCTGAAATCGCAGAGATATACAGTATTGTTCGAAACCTAAGCAACTTTTTCGTAGTAAGTAATCATGGTCTTTTATTATCTTGTTAAATTGAATTATGAAAAGTACTTATTTTATTAACTACAAGCTGGACCCGTGGCGCTTCGCTGCCCCTACTAAAATGATTAACATAGGATAGTTCACGTAGAAAACTATTTGTATTTAGTTTAAATGCTACTTTTTATTGATAGGATTGATTGATATAGGTATTATAGTAGCCCCAATTACTGTTCGACTATATAAATACAAAATGTATACGTTATTTGAAACAGCTTGATTTGTCTCAATAGGATTATACACTATTATATTTTCTACAATATTCACATGTTTTGCATTAATCGTTCAAAGACCAATAAAATCCTTCATTCCCATTACCATTACCTTTATGTCTGTATTATCATCTGATTTCCCATTCTATGGCTGGGATCCCTCCACATTGTAATATTTTTAACGAACTTAGATTTATTCTTCTTCTTAACTCATGGTTGTATCATGTTCTTAACTGACGTTAGCGGAATTGGTGGCTATAAAAATTACTGATAATGGGACAAAAAATTATGAGTCGAAAATTTCTGATTTTGACCAAATTTTACTTCCTGGTCATTTAAATTGGATGTGCACTTATCTGAATATCATACATACCTTTATGAACATATTTATTCAAGATATTCAGATAGACAATTAATGTTAGTTCAGAGGTATGATTACGGTTGATGCTATAACTCTTCGTCATTTTGCGAAAATTTCTGCAAAGTCTAAGCAGCAATTTTTGTGTCTACAACCAAAAGTGTTTCTTTTTTTCCATGTATAGATTAATTAAATTCAATTGTGAGTAAATTCCGTCCATTGTATCACTCCAATTTTAACATGGATGATGCGTATTTGTAACCACTTTACTCAAGCAAATTTTAAAGTGGGAATTTGTAACGCGCATTAGGATATAAACATAGAATACCTATATCATTTCAGATGCTATAACTCCGCCTATGATTTTTCTATCAGGTAGCATGAGGTGCTGTAAAATTCTCAGTAAAATCTGTTGAGCGGTTTTTGACTAAATTATTTAAGTGCAACGGGGAGTGCATTTTCCCCAATCGTACCACGCTCATTTTTGTATGGATGATGTGTATTTACACCTCCGCTATTCAGACAAATTTTGAAGACTGTGTCTATTACCGTTATAAAGATATACGCATATTACATGCACTGAAATTTCTAGGTGTGTTCACTATTGATGCTATCGGGTATGACATACTGTGTAAATCTAATTAACACCTGCTCAGGGGTTTTTGCGTCTATTGGTAACATACAAACATTTTTTTTCTATTTTATATACATAGATAGTTTTTTCAAGGCAATGACAATCCAATTAATTGTAGAAAATTAAAATATTTTGAGAATTTTCCATAATTGACAATTACTTAAAGATATACACTGCCCATTTTCGCCCAAAATATGACCAAAAAGAACTATGAAGAGATGAAACCATAAAGGTTCGTGTGGATATAAAAATATATTTTGCAACGTTCTCGCGGATGTGTGGAAAGGTTTAAAAACCTCTTTCAAAATATATTTTGCAACGCAATAAGCAAACATTTTTTTATTTTTACGAATTTCAATAATCCTTATATCATAGCGAATTTGTAAGTTTCGATTTTTTAAGAAAATAGACGATAGAAATTAAAACTGGTTAACATGTTCACTGCTTATGGGAATTTTATTATGAACTGTAAAACTTATGAACTTGTAACGAAATCCATCGTCTGCCTGTTGCAATCGTAATACCTATCTTAAATACAACGTTTGATTTCAAGAACATAAAATATAGGCCGATTTTAAGTCTTTTTAACAGCTGGCTAAGCTGTAATACCCAATATGAGGTTGTAAATGAGTATAATACTTCCTTGCAAAACTTGTCACCAGACCTCAATCCCATTGAGAACCTTTTCAGCATTTTAAAACGAAGGATTGGAACACGTCGCCTTAAAAACAGACAGGAACTAATGATCTGCTTAAAATCAGAGTGGGAAGCTATACCAACTGCAATTCTAACAAATCTTGTAGAATCAATGCCAAAAAGATGTGTGGCAGTGATAAAAAATAACGGGTATCATACGAAATATTGAAAGTTGCTTAGGTTTCGAACAGCTGCTTTGTGAGTTAATTTTGTTTTCATTTCTTTATTTTTTTCAAACAAATATAATTTAAATTTGTTGTTATTTTCAGATTATAGACACATAGTATAATAGTAAATAAAATATATATTTTTTATAAATCAATTTAACGATATCATATAAGACCATGACTACGTACTAAGAAAAAGTTGCTTAGGTTTCGAACAATAATGTATGTAGAAAAGAAATGTAACCCAGAAACAATTCGACGAATTTTTCGTAAGCATGATCTTCATGGTAGAGTTGTACCGAAATAGGCATTCAGAAACCCATGCCTATTTTGAAAGCAAACTAACTTAACTTGTTTGGTTATTATTATATATTGGTTATTATATTATATTTGGTTATTATATTGTATTTTTATGTATTGAATTCACATAAATTGTGTACATATTGCAAGAACAGAAATAACAGTTTGTAAAAAGGGTTTGAAAATGCTGAAATAATAGAATTGAGCCTTAACTTTTAGGAATCAGCTCCGAAATCAATGAGTGTAAAGTAATATTGAAGTGATTACCACTGCACAAAATCACTTTAATAGCTTCTTGACGTGAACGCCATCGATTAGTACTGAATTTTTGAAGCGGCATAGGACACTAATTTCTAACTATGGCATATTCATCCATTGGTAACGACAGCCTTGGATGGCGATTCATTTCATATTGTATGTTTGAACACTTATAATACTTTTAAGTGAAAATAATTTAATACAATTTAGAAATAGTGTTAAATAATTCATTTGGGTGCTATTGTATTTTTGACTTCCAAATAGTGCTAAAATTAGTACAATTGTACCAACTTTTCCATCCCTGTTTTGAAAAATGAAAAATATTGTTTACTTTTTGAACATATTTATACCCTACACCAGGGACGCGGCCCGGGGGGCCCGGGCCCCCCCCGAAATGAATTTTTTTCACAGAAAATTTATGTTCGCAGCAGCGAATTTTTCCATTTTGTACTACCGGGCCCCCCCCGAAATGAAATCCTGAGTACGTTGCTGCCCTACACAACTATGTTGTCAGGGTATTATAGCTTTGTGTACCCCAAAAAGTTTGTAACACCGCGAAATATTGATCCTAGACCCACCTTTAAGTATACCGATCGTCATATCTCGACTAGCTGAGTCGATCTAGACATGTGTGTCCGTCCGTCCGTCCGTCTGTCCATTATAATTTGTAAACACGATACAGGCCACAGTTATTGACCAATCTTCACGAAATTTTGCATTGAGGATGTGTTCCGGCCAATGAAGACCCCTATAGTTTTTGGAAAAGATTGGTTAATATTTAGGGGATGAAATGGACCAAAACTTTATTTTTGTCGGTTTTTCTGGTCGCTCCAGAGGCCGCAATTATGACCCAAACACCGCGAATTTGCATGGAGAAGGGGATCGGGCCAAAGAATAAGCATGCATGTTTTGACAAAGATCGGTTAATATTTAGCGGGTCAAATGAACGCTGACTTTTGTGTGAAAAATGACAAAATTTGTATTCCATAGGGAATATATTTACTCCTGAAGGACATGAAGCCGATATGTTGATATTGTATCCAAGAGGAGTGGTTGACCTTTAAATCGACACCAATTTTATTGTCGTATGTACTCGGATGTGGGAGTTACACGTAAATATTTACAGGTGCTTACGTATGCAAATACTATTTAGTAACCCATTACCACACTAGAGGGCGGAAATATGGCGCTGATCGCTTTGAAATGTTCTATGAGGTTTCAGTTATGATTATGATTTTGGGATGAAGTGGACCGAAAATTTATTTTTTTGTGTTTTTTCGAGTCACTGTGAAGGGAATCTGGACAAGTAACTAGAAGGACTGTACTGAATTTTAGTAATATTTGTTTACATCTAGAGGGACAAGAGGGTGCAAATAGCGCGAAATATTGCCCAAGCTCAGAACATGGAACCACAGAAAGTTATATTTTCGCGGAAGTTGTGTAGGGTATCATATGGTCGGCCCCGTCCGACTATACTGCTCCGCTCGCTGGTTAAAATTGAAAATGTTGGTTTAATAATTGATTTTGGAATAGAAAGATACATCAACAGTGCGCCTTAAATGTAATAATGTTGGTGGGTGTATGGAGATATAACAAGATATGGACTATTTTTTCCGTAGTGTTTGTATGCTCTCACATGAAATTTGAAAACCAATATTGTATAAAAAAAATGTGCCATCGAACCAAATCTTCTTTTCGATTCCATGATATTCTTATAGAAATCTCATCTCAATGGCCTTCCGCTATGCCTTTCATTTTCTGCCTTTTTGTTCTTTATATCGAAATGTATTTAATATTTTCATTTAGAATATGTTTTGAAAAAAAAAACAACAACAACAAATTACTATGATATATAATGTTACCATCAGCTGGCTTGATAAGGTTACCTTCTTAATATACCTTGGTTTGGCCGGCACTCGAGTCGGTTCGTTTAAATTTTTACAAAATGGTTTTCGTTTTAATTTTTACAAAATTATTTTCGTTTATATTTTTACAAAATGACCGAAAAGACCCCTTCAATGAGTCGGCTGAGGGTATACCAAAATATTCCTTGATATTATATCACTAATATTGCCGAAGACACTATATACCTAAAATGCAAACGTAATCTTTTAAAACGCCGATACACGTGTCTTCTTTTTTTAGCTCCTCTTTCCTAATCTGTTGGAATTTCCCGGTAATTATTTTTTGTGTTGTTTTTGTGTTGACATCAACAAGTTCAGCAAAATAATTTTCTAATATTCTACTATTTAATGTTAGACAACAGATTTTGAAAAAAAAAATATCAGGCAAAGCTGTAAATTTTGTTTAATTAGGCGTTAGCATTTTTAAACATCACTTATCATTAAGAATTCTGTTACGTTTGGGTATTAAAATGAAATTACACAACATAAAAAATAAATAAGTAGCACTCTCTGACAAACATATTTAAATGTAACCCCAAACAAAAGAATAACGTATGCATGCGAAAAAATAAATAAATAAATAAATAAGTTGACTTACCTATGGAAACCACTTATTGGCAAACTGACATCAGGCAAGAACTCTGTTAGCGGTGCAAAATAACCACCATATTCTGGCATCGGTAAAGGATGTGGTGCTGCAACTGGAGCTGTATGCGATACTTCCGACGAACGTAATTCCACATTTTCTTCTTGACGTGACTGAACAAGAAGACACACCAAAAATTAATAAGAACATAAAAATGTAAATGAGAAAGAATAAATAAAAATAACAACATATTAATGACTAATTACACTGTGGAACAAATTTAAAAAAAAAAAAAACATTATAATGGAAAAGTCTTTAATTATGGGCATAAGGTTTTTTTTGACTGTCCACATACGACTGTTGGCTATAAAATTTTGTAAAAAGGTAAATGTTTCGGGGAAAATAAATAAAAAATAAAGTCGGTATTTCCGCGATGCATGCGCAAACAGCCAAACAGAATTTATATATATCCAAATTATCTGAAAAGGATTTGGTAAAAAAAAAAACGTGGGGGTTTAAAAACCAATATTACAATGAAACACATTTTTACCATAGTGTATATAACCTCATTGTCCATAAAGTGGTTGAGGGTATAATTTTCAATTTTAGCATAGGTTTTGTGAAAAACAATGAATACATTTTGTTCCACTGTGCCATAACAATTGTGGTTGTCTTAATAATGTATACTTTACCTCTGGATCATTAATAAGTATATCTTCTGGTCTGGGTAATATAGATGGTCCGGAAGCTGCACGTATTTTGTCGGCACCACGCGGTGGTCGATTATTAGTGGCCTGAGTAAATGCTCTTATGCCGCTATCCGATTTACATGTGCTGCAATATTTGCAATGCCGTTGTTTTGATGATGTGGAGAATGAAACCAAAGAATATGCGATAAAAATACAAAAGTTAAAAGAAGAAAGAAAATATTATATATTAATGTAAATATAAATGGAAACGAAAGGGATACTGAGAATTTCTGTATTATTAATTAAGACATCGATAACAAGAGATATTGGTATTTTTATAATTATTTTATATAAGAGCACGGGTATTGGTTATACATAATATGACCTAGGACCTCAAATTTTCTGCGGATATTAGCCTGGGCAATATTTCGCGATATTTGCATCCTCTTGCCCGATTAGAGGTAAAAAGCAACTCTTCCTCACACTGACATATTTTCCGAATATTACGAGTATTCAGTACAGCTATTGTCTAGATTCCCTTCACCGTGGGTTGTGTTGTGATGTTCGGCTTTCATTTGTGGTCTATAGATCGGCTCGAAAATAACACAAAAAATTAAGTTTTCGGTCCACTTTATTCCAAAATTTTTATCTGATCATCACCGAAAATTATAGGCGTTGTCCTTGACCATAACTGGAACCACATGGAACATTTCAAAGCGATCAGCGCGATAGTTCCGCTCTCCAAAGTGATAATGGGTTACTAAATAATATACGAATACGGAGATACCTGTAAATATTTAGGTGTAACTCCCACATCCGAGCAGATACAACAATATAATTGGGCTTAATTTAAAGGTCAACCACTCCTCTTGGATATAATATCAACTTCTCGGGTAAATGTTCTTCAGGGGTAAATATAACAAATTTTGTCAACACAAAAGTATTTGATTATTGACATCTTTATCCAAAAAGGCATGCTTATTCTTTGGCCCGATCCCCTTCTCCATGTAAAAATTCACGATGTTCGGGCCATATTTTAATATATATTTGGTCCATTCCCCTAAATATAACCGATCTTTCCCAAAAACAATAAAATAAAAAATTGGTCAATAAAAAGACGGACGGACGGACGGACACACATCTATTTTTAATAATTATTATAAATAAAAATAAAAAACAATAAAGGAACGACTAACGTCGGACGGGGACAACTATGTGATATCCTACACTATATATTTATATATAAGGTATTTTATGAATATTGTACTGTTTTATGTACAGTGAGTCACAGTCAAAAGTATCCACTTGGTTTTTTTTTTTTATAATAAAAATGTCAGAAGGGAATTTTAATCAATGAATTACATTTTATTATTTTTTATATGCGACCATAAACAGCTCAATTTAAATGCAGTAAAATAAACAATATTTATGTGAATTCAATATAAAAACCAGTAAGGAAAGTAGTAAAGTCGGACGGGGCCGACTATATGATACCCTTCACCACTTTGGGTATATTCAGCAAATGAATCTTAACAGACGTAGCATTTTTGAAGGATCAGTTAAATGAAATTGGGCCCATATCTGCAACCTATACTAAATTTCTCATTTGGTCAGATATAGAGTTGCACAAAATTGGCACAAAATTATGTAAATCAATTTAAAGCATATATCAGTCGGATACCCGTTGATTATTTGGATACATATCTGATAAATATGAGGAGTTTGGTACACCATTTACTTCAAATCGGACGAAAATATTTATAAAAGCTATATCGAAATCTAAGCCGATTTCATTGAAACTTACTATATCGGCCACATTTTGAGTTCTTGGTGCATCATTTAGTTAAAATCGGGAAAAAAATATGGTAGCTCTATCCAAATTTGAACCGATTTCAATAAAACTTTCCACGTGCTAGGTGCACATTTTACTTAAAATTTGACGAAACTATTTATAGGAACTATATCTAAATCTGAAAAATATATATCTTAACATTTTTAAAACTTGCACACATCATTGTATATCAGTAATAAAATTTCTTCTATATAGTTTGTTACACCATTTTCCTTAAATCGGACCTACATATGGGAGCTATATTTAAATCTAAACCGATTTTCATAAACTTAACACACATCTTTAGGTTCATTATGCTGTGCCAAATTTCGTGCAAATTTAGAAATATATATAGGGACTCTGGTGTACCATTTACCTAAAATCGGACGAAAATATATATTGGAGCTATATCTAAATCTTAACCGATTTTCACGAAACTTAACACACATCATTGTAGACTTTATTCAGTACGCTGTACCAAATTTTGTGGAAATCGAAAGATATATGGGGACTTTGCTAAATCGGGACTTACCTAAAATCGGACGAATATATATATATATATATATATATATGGGAGCTATATCTAAATCGGAACCGATTTTCACGAAACTTAACATACATCATTCTAGACTTTATTTGCCTAAAATCGAACGAATATATATATATATATATATATATATATGGGAGCTATATCTAAATCGGAACCGATTGTCACGAAACTTAACATACATCATTCTAGACTTTATTTGCCTAAAATTTCGTGCAAATCGAATATATATATATATATATATATATATATGGGAGCTATATCTAAATCGGAACCGATTTTCACGAAACTTAACACACATCATTCTAGACTATGTTCAGTACGCTATACCAAATATCGTGCAAATCGAAAGATATTTAGGGACTTTGGTGCACCATATACCTTAAATCGGACACAAATATATATGGAAGCTATATATAAATCTGAACCGATTTTCATGAAACTTAGCACTCATCATTCTAGGCTTAATTCAGTACGCTGTGCCAAACTTCGTGCAAATCAAAAAATGTTTAGGGACTTTCGTGCACCATTTACCTTAAATCGGACGAAAATATATATATGGGAGCTATATCTAAATCTGAGCCAATTTTTCCCAATTTCAATAGGGTTCGTCCTTGGGCCAAACAAGTGACGTATGCCAAATTTCATCCAATTCGAATAATAAATGCGACCTGTACTTTTTGAATCACTTTTGGACAATTATAAAGCATCCAATCTCGAAAGCTCAGGAATTTTTGTTTGGGGTCAATATATTGATAAAATTAAATTGTTGTCCCTAATTCCAATTTTCCGCGCTACATTTCCAATTATCTTTGAAAATGTTTATATAATTAATTTTATCCATAATTCCTTCAATACAAACGAGATTTTCTACTCCGTCACGGCTCATACAGCCCCATACCATTACAGAGCCTCCTCGGTGCTTTACGCTCAAAATTGTGTGCTTAAAGTTCACGGCTTTTTTTTTGTCTTGCGCCATACCTTACTTGGCCCATTCGACCCAAACAACTTCAATTTCCTTTCATCAGCAAAAATAACAGATTTATAAAACACAAAATACTTTTTTTACTGTTTCTGAACGAACTCCAGTCGGATTTTCCGGGTTTATACATTATTTTTCTTGGGTTTATACATGACTTTTTCGGTGCAACTCTACCATGAAGACCTTGCTTACGCAAAATTCTTCCAATAGTTTCTGGCTTACATTTCCTTTCCAAATATTTCTCTGCGATTTCAGCAGGATTAAATGCACTTTGCTTTGGATTATCGGTCACTTGTCGGAGCAACCATTTTTCGTAGCATATATTCAATATTTTTTCACTAGTTTTCGGCTTGTTGCAAATTCTATTTTCGGTTTTGTGCCTTAAAATATTTTTGAACAGCAGTTCGAGTAATGTTGAGTATTTCCGCAATTTTTCTAGTTCAGCATGGCGAAGAACTAATATTGTCTCGGCAATCGTTGTGTTGCGTCCCATGGTCTCAAATTCTCACGATGGATATTCGAATATAAGCAAACTTATTTATAAAAAATATGATGCAATATTTAACATGATATTTCATGACATTTCATTATTTTTTTATATTGACTTTATAAAAATATTGAATTTATTTCATTAATTTTAACTTAGAATTTTCATGTTCACATATAAAAAAGAATAAACATTTATTCATTAATTAACACGCACTTTTGTAATTTTTATAATGAAAAACCCAATTGGATACTTTTGACTGTGACTCACTGTATATTAGCTATAAAAAATGGCACACCTAAAATATAAATATATAATTCAAAAAAAATATATATTTTCATGTAGTGTGTATTTGTGTGATATCGTACGATATTATATATGGGTGCTATATTTAAATTTAAACCGATTAAAATGTAATGTTGACAAACGCCATTTTAGAATTAATTGTAAACGGATAAAAACTAAAGATATATACGTAAAATAAAAACCAGTAGTATAGTCGGACGGGGCCGACCATATGAAACTCTACACAACTTCCACGAAAATCCAACTTTCTGTGGTACTACATACTGAGCTTGGGCAATATTTCGCGATATTTGCATCCTCTTGAACGACTAGAGGTCAACAAATATTACTAATATTCAGTACAGCTCTTCTAATTACTTGTCTACATTCCATTCCCCGTGGGTTGTGTTGTGGTCTTCGGCGATCAGAGTTAAATTTCCGCCATCTAGTGTGGTAAGGAGTTACTAAATAATATATGAATACGTAAGCAACTGTAAATATTTAAGCGTATCTACCGCATCCGAGTACATACGACAATATAATTGGTATCAATTTAAAGGCCTACAACTTCTCTTGGGTATATTATTCTTTGACCCGATCCCTTTCCCCATTAAAAAAAATTCGCGATGTTTGGGCCATAATTGCGGCCTCTGGAGCGACCAGAAAACCGACAAAAATTAAATATTTGGTCCATTTCATCTCCTAAATATCAACCGATCTTTACCAAAAACAATAGGCGTCTTCATTGGCCAGAGCCTATCCTACATCCAAAATTTCTATAACTGTGGTCTATATCGTGTTTACAAATTATAATGGACAGACGGACACACATGTATAGATCGACTCAGCTAGTTGAGATATGACGATCGGCATACTTAAAGGTGGGTCTATGACCAATATTTCGCGGCGTTACAAACTCTTGGGGCGGCACAAAGCTATAATACCCTGACAACATAGTTGTGTATGGTATAAATACTTACCCGGTTTTTATTGGATCCTCACCACTGTGACGTTTTGTATGAATTGTACCCTTTTCTACAGTAAGATCTTGGATACGAGAATCGTTGATTCCACCGACGGGTTGTCCTATAAAAAAGATAAGACAAATAAAAATAAGATAAGTCAAAAAAATTTATAATCGGACAATTTGGAGTCGATTCACAAATGTCTGCCTGGCTGGTCAAAATTCTGTTGAAAATTATATTGATACCTTCAGAGTTATGACTAATGAGCAAAGTGTATGTACACTTTGCTATGGCAAAAATGTGCCTGATGTGATGTGTCTTGGACCAAATCCGTTTCAGACAATTTGGTGTCGATTTACAAATGTCGGTTCGTCTGTCTTCAACTCTCGAAAGGAGTAACCGTTTTCATCTAAACTTTGCATATCATAATATTTCTTTTAAACTTAGTTCAAGTTCGACGATATTCCCTGGTCCACTCCTTCTGGTACCTCCCTCACAAAATGGTCAAACTTGTGCTAAAAATTAATTTTATAATATCATTCGAACGGACTATACGATTTGAATCAAGCTTTTAACAGTCTATTATTATTACGAAGCCTAGATCATGTCTGAAGTTGGGATCCATTGGTTCACTCCTTCAGTTATTCCCCCAAAATGGTCAACATTTCCAACTTTTATACAACAATATTAGACGAATGGCATTGCACAATCCAGTATCTTTAGATTCCAGATCAAGTCCGAAGATGGGACAAAGCCCTCCCACAAAGGGTCAATATTTTATAAACTTGTAAATTGTATTTGAAGCGAACTGAATAACCGATCCGTAACCACTTTATAAATACATATACCTTATGTAAAACGAATAATAAAACGTGTGAGTAATTTCGAGGACTTTTGCGAACCATAGGTAACCTAGAGTTAATATCTGTCGGCAACAGCGAATGATACTTTTTTGTACTGATTTTAATTTGAAATAACTTTTTAAGCCAAATATTTGAACCAAGCCGTATAATATCCAAATATGGGACTTATCAGTCCAATCCTATCCCCACAATGAAAAATTTTTAATGGCAAAACGTTGTACATCGTAATAGTGATTTTCCAAAACCAAGTTCGAAAATGGAATCCATTAGTCCAATGATTCTGGTACTTTCCCCACAAAGTGCCAATATGTATGTATGGAGCGTGCGATGTTATCCATACTAAGTATCATAGTCATATTTTTACCTAAATTAAACCAAGACAGGAGATGGGAACCAACGGTTTAAACCTTGTGGAATTTCTCTCCACAAAATTACTAAATTTTACAAATCCAATATTAAGGGAATGAAATGTTCAAACAGGACACGTCGTAGTATTTAAAACCAGTCGGACGGAGCCGACTATATGATACCCTTCACCACTTTGGGTATATTCAACAGATGAACCCAACAGATGTCGCATTTTTAGAGGACCAGTAAAATGAAATTGGATCCGTAAACATGTTATTCTGCAACCGATACTAAATTTTTCATTTCGTCAGATATATATATCTAAATCTATCTAAATCTGAACCGATTTTCAGGTAACTTAACACACATCATTCTATACCTAATTCATTACGCTGTGCTAAATTTCATGCAAATCGAAAGATGTATAAGGACTTCGGTGCACCATTTACATTAAATCGGACGAAAATATATATGGGAGCTATATCTAAATCGGAACCGATTTTCACGAAACTTAACACACATCATTCTAGACCTAATTCAGTACGCTGTGCCAAATTTCGTGCAAACCGAAAGATATTAAGGGACTTTGGTACACCATTTACATTAAATCGGACGAAAATATATATGGGAGCTATATCTAAATCGGAACCGATTTTCAATAGGGTTCGTCCTTTGGCCAAATAAGAGACCTATGTCAAATTTCATCCAAATCGGATCATAAATGCGACCTGTTCTTTGTTCACAAAAATACATGGACGGACGGAGAGATGGACATGCGTAAATCGACTCAGAAAGTGATTCTATGCATATTCTCAAAAGGAACCATGTGTCTATCTCGTTTCCTTTTGCCCGTTACAAACATATGCACAAAGACATAATACCCTGTACCACAGTGTGGTGAAGGGTATAAAAACCAAGATCTAGTTCGAAGATTGGACTCATCCACCTTTTTTTTGTGAATCCCCACACAATATAATTTTATAAAAAAAAAAATAGTTACAAATAAATATAGTTACAAAAAATCTCTTTTGTCTCCCAAAACATTTCCATGAATTGTCGCAATTATTTCAAGGATAACAAAATTTTTTTATACTGTAATATTAAATATTTATTCATGGTCAATTAAAAATTTTCCATAAAATAACAAACAAAAAATATCAAATGAAGCATGAGGGTGTGAACACACACTAACTAGTACCGTGTGAGTAGTTCAATTTTTTTTGCTTTGCACACATCAATCAATACCAAATTATTTGCATATTTCCTCCGAAATTTGAAATGTTTATTCTACTTCTTTACATTGGTTATTTTGACAAAGTAATTTAATTACTTTTACAAACAATCAAGCAACCTGGGTGTGCTCATCAAACACATTGGCGCCAGTCATTGTGGTGTGAGCCACTAACTCAGTCCTCGGTGAGCTATGACGATATTACGCTCTGGACTTCTACTCTCTGTTTACAAATCGAATTTTCATTTGTTTTTATCGATTTCTACCCCTTTCTATCTATCAATGGTATCAAATATCAAATGATGGTTCCGCCAGTGACTATCACTAACCGACCGACTGTCTGACTGACTTTTTTGGACAGGACACGGCGCCTGTAATGTCCATCACCTGTTTATGATGGAATAATATACATGATTTACTTTGGGCTCAATATGGTTTAAATAATGCTAACAATTGCACATCTCACGTTAGCAATCGCAATACAATGAAGCCGGCACGTTGGTGGGCGAGCAAATATAGGCCGAAGGTTTGATTTGATTTTTTAATTAATAAAAGCCATAATCTCAAATATTAGTTTTAAAAAGTGTTTAGGGTCACCTTTGTACGCTTTTTGCCTTTAAACCTCATAAATTTTTTTTTTATAATTTTTTTTTTATAAATTTTAAATAATAGGTGCAGATGTAACCTTTACCCTGAATGTACATATTGCATACGTTAAGGTTGATTTAAATAATTTGTTACTGATTTAATAATGAACGAAGTCATTATTGTCAAAATTACCTCCCCAGGTGAGCAGCTTTGAACCAGGCTCGGCATTGTCTTTTACCGTTCAAATATTTATATTTTCTTCATACATATCAGAAATGAATATATTTATTAAACAAGTGAAAAAGCGTTAAGTTCGGCAGGGCCGAACTTTGGACATACTGTACATAGATATACTGTCAGGTACTTGAAATGAAAATAAAGGGAACATACCAAAAAGTGACCTTTCTACAAACTGATTATGTAAACCATAATTTCAGCAATTTTTAATGAATATTTATACCCTCAGCCTTATGGCTAATGAGGGTGTATACACTTTGATACAGTGAAAATGTGCCTCGTCGAAATATTGCTTCTAGACCCCACGTATTTTTGGACCAAATCCATTTCAGAAAATTTTGAATTCATCCAATCTTTGTCTATATTATTATTTATTCCAAACTTTGTTCAAGTTCGAAGATGGGAAATATCGATCCACTCCTTCTGGTACGTCCCACACAGGGGCTAGACCTAGGCCTAAATCCGGGCTATAGTTTACGTTCTATCCTCTGCAGTTGAAATGATTACAACAGAGTCTTAGAACCAAACCCAAAACGCAGAACAAATCAGATAACTATTTTAATATAAAAAGGAGGTTATATGGGGACTACGCCAAAAAGGGTGCGAATATTAATATTTTTTAGTGGGGAGATTTGTTACCATATACGACTACAAAATACCAAATTGTAGCGAATTCGGTAGAAAAACGCGCTCAAGAACCCAAAATATCCAAAACTGACCTATATTCATAATTTTTTTTGTGGAGAGATTTGGTACCTATTAAAAACTCAAAATACTAAATTACAGCCAATTCGGTGGAAAAATACGATCAAACCCTCCAAAATTAGGAGGTACCGGTATATGGGGGCTACCAGAAAAAGTGGGCATATGTTTATAATTTTTTGTGGGGACATTTAGTACCCAATAAGAACGCAATGTACCAAATTTCAGCGTCTTCGGTTGAAAAACGCGCCCAAGAACCCCAAAATACCGAAAATTGGGGGGTACCCTTACATGGGAGCTATGCCTAAACATGGACCGATATATCCCATCTTCGAACTTGGCCTGCCTGTAGACAAACGACAATCCTATGCAAAATTTCAGCACCCTATCTCAATTCCTTCAGAAGATAGCGTGATTACAAAAGACGAACGGACGGACATGGCTAGATCGTTTTAGAATTTTACTCTGATCAAGAATATATATATATATACTGTATACTGTGTCGGAAATGAATATTTCGATGAGTTACAAACGGAATGACAAAATTAATATACCCTTCATACTATGGTGGAGGGTATAAAAACATAACTATAAATGTTCGAAAATTAAAAAAAAACTCAGGTCAAAACTTATAGCCTAGACAGACGACTGTCTTAATTTCGATTAACAACCTTAATTTCAATCAACTTGTACATAGTTCACGCTGCTAGAGAACAATATTGCCATACACTCAGTAGAAAAAGTCAGCATACAAGATAGCAATATATACAATTCGATAAAAAAAAAAAACATCCTGAAATAAGTTTTAAAAAATCCAGTATATTTTATATCCATTAAAATATGACTGTTTACTTTTTTTAAGTTAAAAGAAATTTATATCTTAACGATAAGAAATAAAACCAGTGAGCGGAACAGTATAGTCGGACGGGGCCGACCATACGATACACTACACAACTACCACGGAACTCTAACTTTCTGTGGATATTTATTCCGAGTCTGGGCAATATTTCGTGATATTTACACCTGATTAGAGGTAAACATCACCTCCTTCTTACACGAATATTGCTAAGTTTTCTTATTAGTAATATTCTGATAGTAATATTATCTGATTATTACCGAAAATTATAAGCGTTGTTCTTGAACCTGATAAAAAATATCAAAGCGATCAGTGCTATATTTCCGCCCTTTTGTGTGGTAATGGGTTACTAACTAATATATGAATACGCAATCATCTGTAAATATTTAAGTGTAACTCCCACATCCGAGTACACTCGACAATATAATTGGTATCAATATAAAGGTCAGCCACTCCTCTTAGATATACTATCAACTTCTCGGGTCTGTGCCCTTCACGAGTATATGTATACGCCATAGAATGTACATTTTGCAATTTTTCACACAAAATTCAAGGCCCATTTAACCCACTAAATATTGGCCAATCTTTATCAAAAAAAAAAAAAAAAATTAAGTATTTGGTCCATTCATCCCCTAAATATTACCCGATCTTTAGCAAAAACAAAAGGGGTCTACATTGACCAGAACCCATTCCACATGCAAAATTTCATGAAGACTGGTCCATAACTGTGGCTTGTACCGTGTTTACAAGTTGTAATGGACAGACGGACGGACGGACACACAAGTCTAGATCGACTCAGCTAGTCGAGATATGACGATCGGTATACTTAAATATTTCTTGGGGCCGCACAAAGCTATAATACCCTGACAACATAGTATTTTAAAAAAATATTAATATAGGTTTTATTTATTGTTATTTTTTATTCACATTTTACATTATAGTTTATTTTGTATATATACTTTTGTGTAGAAAATTGGTTTTCGAGCATTATAGAAGAAAGCGTAAGGTTGTACGCAGAACTTTTCTACTTAGTGTATACAAAATTGGTTGCGGTTTGAAAAATTTTTAAACCACAATTTTATGAGCGCTGTGCAAAGCTATAATCTGAACCGATTTAAAACCGAAAGTCAAAACACGCCATTCGTATGAAGTCTATGGCCCATGTTAAATGTTCGTAGCAATTGGACAGGCGAAGTGCCTTTTGGGCGCCATTTACATAAAATCGGATAAAATTATACATAGATGCTATAATTAAAACTGAACTGATTTAAATCAAACATGAGAAACGTCATTCTGAACCAACAGCAATTTCTGTATGATTTTTTCATTTATCTATCTCACTCGTAGCAAAACGCTTTCCTTTTATCGGTGACTTCAGTTTTGGGAAGAAGAAAAAGTCAGCTTGGGTCAAGTCCGGTGAATATGGTGGTTAATGCATGATAACGGTTTTGTCTTTGACCTTAAACAAGCACACAAGCATCTATGTTTTTTTCAAGTTTTGTTTACTATTTGTGCGGTCTTTAATATTTTTCAAGTGTAAACGCGATTTTTATTTAAATTTAAAAAAATTTATATATTTTTGGGCTTGAAAAAAAAAAAACTCAAAGATTGTAGAAATTCCCCACATAAAACACGTAAAAAGGATGTGAAGTTTGGCCCGGCCGAACTTTTATACCCTTCCCACATGAGGATGGCACTCAAAATATCTAAACTTAATGCGGGGCTCCTACGAAATAGGACCTTGAACTTACCGATGAATACGTGAGAAAAATGATGATTGAAATTCTCAAAATATCTAATAGTGGGCCTATCGTTATGTGCGGCGATAAATATTGATATTTTTGGGTAGTGAGATTTGACACTCAATGATAATAAAAAAAATACCAAATTATAATCAACTAACCAGAATTTTTATAGTTTTTCGAATTATGAATTCTTGAAATTCTTGTATTTTAGTTATATAGTGTCTTCGACAATATTACTGGTAAAATATCGAGGAATATTTTGGTATACAACTTTAACCCTCAACCAACTCATTGAAGGGGTCTTTTCCGTCCCCTTTTCTAGAAATGATTGAAAACTCATTCAAAACGGTGTTAAAGCTGCTCAGAATGTTCTACAGAAATGTTCGCCATAATGTTTTACTATACGAGGGCAGTTCGGAAAGTTCTTAGCCTAGCACATAAAGCGCAGTATAAACAGAAAAAAAGTTAGGTGTTTTGGAAACTTCCATCTCTGTTCTTAGCCTAGCACAAAAAGCGCGATATAAGCAGAAAAAAGTTGAGTGTTTTGCAAACTTCCATCTCTGGCAACTCCTTAATTTAGAAACAGGTGTTCAAAATATCGAAATATGGGGGTATACGGTTATATGGGGGCTACACGAAAACGTGCACCAATATATCCCATTTGAAATACCAATTCTCCTAGGAGTACCAGCAATATTGCGACCTCAGTACTAGCAATGTTGCGACCTCCACCGTGATTTCAACAGACGAACAGACATGTTGTCACGTTTAAATTCACATAGAATTTTACACATAATGACAAATTTAATATACACTCAACCTTACCGTGGAGGGTATAAAAATATTTTTTACAAAATTATAATATTAGACATAACCAGTGAGCGGAGCAGTATAGTCGGACGGGGCTGACCATATGATACCCTACACAACTATCACGGAACTCTAACTTTCTGCTGATGTTTATTTCGAGCCTGGGCAATATTTTAGATATTTGCACCGCCTTGCCAATTAGAGGTAAACAGCACCTTTTCTATACACTGACATATTTTCCTAATATTACTAATATTCAGTCCTTCTAATTACTTGTCCATATTCCCTTCACCGTGGGTTGTGCTGTGATGTTCGGCTTTCAATTGTGGTCTATAGATCGACTCGAAAAAAAAAACACAAAAAATCATGCTTTCGATACATTTCATCCCAAAATGATTATGTGATCATCACCGAAAATTATAGGCGTTGTCCTTGACCATAACTGAAATCTCATGGAAAATTTCAAAGCGATCAGCGCTATAATTCCGCACTCTAGTGTGGTAATGGGTTACCAAATAATATCTCAGTACGTAAGCACCCGTAAATATTTATGTGTATCTCCCACATCCAAATACATACGACCATATAATTGGTATCAATTTAAAGGTCAACCACTCCTCTTGAACATACTATCAACTTCTCGGGTCTAGGACATTCAGGGGCAAATATATACGCCATAGAATACAAATTTTGTAATTTTCCACACAAAAGTCAGGGTCCATTTGATCCGCTAAAACAGACATACTTATTCACTGGCCCGATCCACTTTTCCATGCAAAAATTCGCGGTGTTTGGGCCATAATTGCGGCCTCTGGAGCGACCAGAAAAATCGACAAAAATAAAGTTTTTGGTCCATTTCATCCCCTAAATATTAACAGATCTTTCCCAATGGACAGACAAATTCAATATTCAATGCATATCCTTAAAAGTAACTAAGATTCTATGTCGTTTCAATTTGAATGGTACAAACATATGTACAATGACTTAATACCCTGAACCAGGGACGTACGCATAGGGACTGTGGCCTGTATCGTGTTTAAAAATTTTTTTCAACAGCGAATTTTTCTATCTTGTACTACCGGGACCCCCCCAATATGAAATCCTGTGTACGTTGCTGCCCTGAACCATAGTCTGGAAAAAGGGTATAAATATACCATTTGCAGTTGCAAGCGAAAATATTGAATTTTTTCCAAGAAGATAAATATTTAGTTTATTCATTGTACACATAACTCAGCTATATTCGCTAAGGCTATTTTAAATGACAAAATAATGGTTCTGGTTTCCGAATAAAATCATCAATGGATTTTATTAAAAAAACACACACACACACAGAATTCCCCAGTTGTTCAAAAAATATCAATTATCTTGTATTACATAGTTATATAGCTAGTTACTTAGTGATCTAGTTACTTTTTATCCACAAATGGAACACAAAATAGACAGTTGGAATTATTTATCGATTGAAAAAGTTGTCTAGGTATATCATTCCAATTCAGTAGTTACTGGTAATGCAAAGTGTAATGAATGAATCGACTTTTTTATAGATATAAATTCTCGATGGCAAAACAAAACATAACAGTTGTCTTGTCATTTTGTTTCGACTTTTTAGTATTTTTAAAGGCAAAACAGATATTTGTTTTTCGCAAAAATATTCGTGGTGTACCATATTAAGTGATGTGGAACTTGAATTTCTATATTCGAAAGAAATACATAGGATAAATCTGAGGTAAATTTTGATTTTGTAACATAACTCAGACAAATGTAATTCTTCTACGTGATTCATTCCAGGTTTTCTAAAGATTTCGCCCTTTCAGATTGAGAGAACACACAAAGGGTTAGGGACGGATCCTTCAAACAAAATTTTACATGCATTCTGTAGACATTTAGAAACGATACAGGAAGATGTATCGCCCATAAAGGTCCGAAATACATCAATAAATGCTCAAGAGATATTCTACCAATTTTCTATAGGTGAGTTTTCGGTGACAATAAGACCTTCATATATAAATCTTTAGTCGTTTTTAAATCCCTATCTTCTCTTCAGATACATATATATCTACTACGGTGACAAAAGCACGCGAACTCGGGAATTACATATGGATCAAACAGTATACAATAATCTATTATAAAAAAAAATTAATGAATAAATTTACGTGTACAGAATTAATTTTATAAAATATTTCAAATTTTCCAAACTGTTATACAATCTAATTTGTTATATATACGTAACTAGGCATTTGGTTTATAGTTTGTATCTACCCAAGTAGCTGACCATAAGACACTAGTCAAATGCACTACCATTTTGTACTACCTAAATGACTGTATACTGGTAACGCAGACAGGGGACAATTGACTTCCCCAATGACATACCCATGTTAAATTCACCAGTCTAGGGCATGATGTGGTAACTAGTGGTAGTTACATGTAATTGGTAAAATAACTAGTTCATAACCAGTTACTCGAACTACTGGGTCATTTGAATGTCACAACAAACAAATGTTTACACACACATATATGAATATGTAAACATTTTTTATGGGGGAAAATATATTTTTTACTTACCATCAGCTGAATGACTGGAGGCTTTACGCATGCTGGTCAAGCGATAAAATGGTGGTGTTTCTGTACGTTCAATTAGGCAGTTGAGGGTCTCGACAGTTTGCAGTTCTGCCATTAACTCATCCAAGAGACGATCCGGACATGTGCGGGCCAAATACAGAGCGACACGTTTAGCCTTAAGAAATAAATAAAGGAATTAATTGAAAAGGAAACAAAGATGCATTCGGAAAAGCACATAGAAATGTATGAATGAATGGGTGATTTTTTGAGCTTTTCTCTTTTTAGCAACGCTAGTTTAAAAAACTCAGGTGCTTTTCGTGTTTTTTCGCTATCAAACATCTTCAGTTGGGTCTATAATTTCACTTTGTTTCGTCTTAAAAATGAACATCGGTTGCATATCATTGAATTCTATTTCACTTTATGGTCATTTGTTCCCTATTATTTTATGGAACCGCTTAGATCATGCGATTTAACACCTACATACTTATCTAATCAGATAAGCCCGCTTCCATTGACACATTGGAAGGCAACATTGAAGCATTAAATCATGAGAAACCCGACGAAATGTTGGTAAGAGTATGTCAAAATTGAACTAAATGTTTGGGCCATTTGAGGTGGAGTTGCAGTCAACATTAGAACATTTTTTATATTCCCATAGCTCTTAAAAAATCACCCTATAAAATAGTTAACGCTAATTAAATGCACATGAGAGAATGTAAAACTTAAGCAATTCGTTGTTATATTAAAGAACATGTTTTCATCTTGTGTTCCAGGAAACTCTCAACATCAAATTAATGGGGTGGCATATCATAACTGCAGCACGTTACATATATTACATTGCATGCATACATACATATAAACATATTTTAATTGGCGAAATATCTACTAGTATTGTACTTCCACAAAACAAATCACACTTACATAGGGCAGTAATTCGTTGGGCGCCATGCCACTCATTATCACCAGGTAGCGTAGTATCACCTTTAAATTGTTCGGCCAAAATTGACAAAGGGTACCCCATAGCTCTTCAATGTCACGCGGATGTGTATCGGAAAACTACAAAGCAATTCCAAGTAAAGAATCAATGTAAAGCAAATGAAAAAATAAAAACAACAACAACAAATCACCTTAGCTGTTATATAGAATAGATTGTTCAGTATCATTTCAGTGGCCTCTGTTGAACCGGTACCTTCTCGTCGTCCCCTCGTTCCAGAGTCGGGGAAATACTGCAAAAAAAAAAAAAAATCAAAATAAAAATTTTAATTGGAAATTGGTCACAATTATAAATAACAATCAATATTATCATTTCTCTGAAACAACAATAAGACAACGTTTAATAATACAACGTTTACTTATGCACGATTAACATTAAATTCTTTATAATAATTATGTACATGTAATTAAAATGCAATAATTAAATATTCATAACTTTTTTTTGATGATGGTAAAACATGAAGAGAGGGTGTAAATATTATTTAATTATACTAATTTGTCGTTTATCCTCAGATTTAAGAGTTATTTTTTGTCAAACGGAATACATTACATGGATTTTCTGGCATAAATAGCAATGATAATAATTTGTTCTGCCAACTGTATAGTGACAATACAGTTGACAAAAAATTATATTCGACATATCATACCCTTTGACTTATTATTGTCTATACACTTTGAGTAAAATGTGCCCCATCGTCATATCAGTACAAATCACAGATGTGATTCTGACAATTTGGAGTCGAATTACAAATGAGTCCCTTATTTTGAAAGTGGTTTAAGTCCATTGTATATTCCGATACAAATCTGATTAGCTTCCCATCGTAAAGATGGATGTATCTCATTAGAACCGGGAAATGATAAACGTGCCAATGCCAAAGAGATATCTGCCAAGAAGATATACAAGAGAGCGTTTAACTACTGCAACCGGTTTATCGGACGGGACAGAGATTCTATAACGTCCTGTTGACATAATCATTGAATGTGATGCCAATGCACATCACTTCCACTGGGGATGCAATGGCACCAATCCAACAGATGGGTCCATTTTTTATTGATTTTATACTTAGTTATAATCTTAGAATATGTAATAGGGGCAATACGTTAATAGATTGAGAGGTGAAGTCATGAACGACTCTGGGATTGCCAACTGGGAAGTATCTGAGAAATGTTCCTTTTCGGACCATAGGATATTTTCCAGATTCCTACCTCTAGAAGAAAACAAAAACCTTATACGAATCCTCGGAAGTCAAAATGGGATTAATTCAAACCCACAACAGCATCGTCGATTTTAGGTCATATAGATCTCTTCTGCGGAGATTTAAGGCTTCCTTTCCTTTAACGTACCCTGGGAAGAGATATCAGTCGGTATGGTGGTCAGAAAATCTGACATCCTTGAGAAAGGCTGCAAAGACAGCATATAATAAAGCTAGTAAGACGAAACTTAGTACAGATTGGGACGTTTATAGACAATAATTCAATAGGTACAAGTGTGAAATCAAAAAGGCTAAACGTGAGTTTTGGGTCTGCTATAGTGAGTCAATCGAAGGAGTAAACGAAACGGCCAGATTTGGCAGAGTAATATCTAAATATCCAAAATCTATACATAAAGTTAAGCAAATCGACGGGACGTGGGCAAATTTCGGCAAAGAGACTCTTGATCTTCTATCATCAACCCACTTCCCTGGTTGTAAGGACCAGAATGTTGATATGGAGTGTGCGCATCGGCATGTGGCTCGAACCAACGAGGAGAACACTATAAGGTACCCAAAAGTGGCATGAGCCATAAATAGCTTTCAACCCTACAAGTTTTTATAATGTGGGTTGGGTTTATCGATTGACTCTTTCTTGTATCTTCGCCACAATGGAAATAATGTGATATTTCATATGAAGCTGTGTACTCGATTTTATCCCTTAGACTCCAATCGTAATATATTTACCAACCTATATCAAAGCCTGAAGAGGTCAATCGGCCGAATATCTCTCCTGGTACCTACGCCACAAAGTGTCAAATTTTTGAATATTTCGAAATCCAATATCAATCTTTTGCTAATTCCGTGAAATTTTGGAAAAGATTTTTCGGTTAATATTTAGGAATGTGCTCCATGGACCAAATGTTTGTAACGCCGCGAAATTTTTGTATACCGGTTTTTCTGGTCGCTCCAGAGGCCGCAATGAAATTTTTGCATAGAAGGGGAGCATAAATTGTGAAATTTGGTACATTGGGTTCTTATTGGGTACCAAATTTCCCCCACTAAAATAATAAACAAAGGTCCAATTTTTCTGGTAGCCCTCATATAAGCGTATTTTTTTGCTGAGTTGGCTGTAAATTAGTATTTTGAGTTCTTATTGGGTAACAAATCTCTCCATAAATAATTGTAAATATAGGTCAATTTTTTCGGGTAACCCCCATATAAGAGTACCACCCGATTTTCGGTAGTTTGGGGTTCTTGAGCGCGGGTTTCAACCGAATTCGCTGTAATTTGGTATTTTGTAATCGTATATGATAACAAATCTCCAAACCATACATTATTTATATTCGCCCCCTTTTAGGGGTAGTCCCCTTTTTATAAATATTAAAAATTTTTATCTGTTTTTCCTCGTTTTGGTTTTGGTTCTAAGACTGTGTTGTAATAATTCGTACGTAATAACGTAAGGTTCGATAACGTAAGGTTCGATAATGAACTATATCGACCGGCATTTAGGCCTAGCCCCCATATAATGACACCTACCGATTTTCAGTATTTTTAATATTTAGGGTAAAGGAAGGTATTGTGATACAAAAATGTTAGTTTCGGAAGTTCTACAACGATGTGATCAATATTGGTCCCGCTTTAGGTATAGCCTCCAGAGACGTACGCATACACATTTTTTGTCTGCTGTGACAATTTTTGTATTGAACCAGCAGCTTCCACCAAACCCCTCGAAATAAAACCTGTGTACGTTGGTCATAATTGTGCCCTCTAAATTGCAGTATTTTGGGGATTTTATACACATGTTCCATCCTGCCATGCGTCGTTAATATAGGGGTTTTCGGAAAAAATCTCCACTAAAAGTTGCTGAAATTTATATGTGGTGTATATTCTGGTTTACAACATTTCCAAGGGTATCCAAAGTTCGTCCTGGCCGAACTTAACGCTTTTTCACTTGTTTTTTACCCTTATATGGGGTCTACCCGGAAAAATGGACCTATATTTATATTTTTTTGTGGAGAGATTTGGTAAATAATAAGAACCCAATGTACTAAATTTCAGCGAGTGCGGTTGAAAAATGCGTTCAAAAACCCCAAAGTACCGAAAATTGGGAGCTATACCAAACTTGACCTATTTGCAGACAAAAGACGACTCTATTCAAATTTTTGGCGATTTACCTCAATTCGTTTAGAGGCTAGAGTGATTACAACAGACGAACATGCTTAGATCGTCATAGAATTTTACGCTGATCAAGATTATATATGTGTATATATATATGAGTTACGATGAGTTACAAATGGAAAAACAAAATTAATATGCCCTCCATACCATGATAGGTAAGGGTATAATAATCATATACACATTAAAAATACCTGAAATGGGAGCTATGTGAAAAAATTGACCTATATTGAACGCATTCTGTACGGATATCGAGTCTAGGAGTCGTACAAAATTCTCAAGGTATAGCTAAATTTTTACAAGCGTAATAAAAATAAATAGGTTTTCCCCTGATGTTCTAACTTAAATTCCATATTAAAATTTTTAAAGACACTTTCAACTGTATATGTCCTTAACATAAACGTGTAATAATACTTCCCTGTATCCTATCCTTTCATTGCCCTTAAATCAATCCTGAATAACAATTCAATGGTAATTTTGTATAATAAATTCTATTTCCCACTTACCATGATGTACGACAATGGCGTGGCTGGGGGCACTGTTGTTGCAACCAATTCCATATTATGCAGCCATGGCTGTAAACATTGCAACAATAGTGTACGCACATCTTCTCGGGCTGTTTGAAAGCGGTGTGTAATTTCTGCAAAAAATTAAATAAAATAAAATTATAAAAAAAGAACTTAACATAACAGCATCCAGAAAAGCCAACGAAACTTCCAATTACCTGAAAACATTGACATTGTCAGCTCCGGACGCAACTGGGCCAATTGTTTGGACAAGAAACGCTGCGAACGGCAATAAGCACTACTTAGCAAAACATCCAATGTTCCCACTTTGTCATCTTCTGTAATGAAAAGAAAATACCTAAACATTAGAGGAGTCTATGTGATGAATAAAAATGAACAAAAAACTGAAACCGGAAAATGGCAAAAAAATCCTCAAAAAAAAAAAAAAATATAAGCTTCATTTAATGGATATATGTACTCGTCGGTTTAGTGGTAGCCATGCCAACCATCAGAGATTTGTTCAAGTGATTTTTTTGTTTGACAAAAAAATTACGCGTTTATTTTACGTCTCTGCGGGCAATAAGTTTAGAAGTACAATGGCAGGGATTGGCATTCATGCGTTATTTAACTTTCACCAACGCCAGTGAAAATCCAACTGATTTCCACGCTGCCAGCGTTGAGCGGAAATGGAGGAAAAATAAAAGATGACATATGAATAGTAAGAGTTAGCGGTAGTAGTATTTTAAGAGAATATTAATAGGATTCTCTTAAGAAAATGGCAGAAGGAAAATAGGAATTAGGACAGGCATGCTTACCCATATACGCTACCGTAACAAAGGGTCGATTGGTAAACATATTTTCTCTTTCTTTCTCTTTACTATAGACGTTTTTAACGGTGAATTCTCAGTTACGCTCGCACACACTTGCTCTCAATTTAATTTTGCCCAACACTGAATTAGGACCTTTCAAAAGTCTTACATTTTATTAATGGAACTGAAAATCGTTGTACATTTCGACCGGGGTTTGAAAATGCATAACATTGAGAACCAAACATGATCCTTATATTGTAAATTTTCCCATCATATTTTTTTTACCCACCCAGAACCCGTTATGGTAAATTACAGCCATTATGGTTGGCTAATATATACATCGGACTATCAACATATCTAAAATAAGTTGTGACCTGTATTTAGGGAACAATTTCAAAATATTCACCTCTATTAAACACCCTCGGCAAAAATGTTTTTTTCAAGAATCAGTAATGGAAATTTACAGCCACATAAGTGGAAGTGCAGCCAAAATTAAAAAAATCTAAAATGGCGACAGGACAGGACCTGTGTCAAAAGTTCGATCAATAACGGTAATGCGTGTTTTCCATCATAAGTGCCTGTAATTTGATACTGGTTTTTCTTAAAGGATAAAAAATCTTGTAACAGAACATTTGTTTACCCAGAGCCATTAGATTTCCAGCGATTTTATGTATATTGCAACTCCATGAAATTTTTATCGGAGACCCCATAACAATAGGAAAAAAGTTCCCAATGCTGTTGTTCTTAGAATTTTTGGTATTACGAATGTGATATATGGATCCATGTTTTGACATAGGCCTTATATAAAGGACACGGCCCATATTCGGTATTTTGAAGGTCTAAGTCACATTTTACCATCAAAATAGCGCAAATATGGCATTTTGGGTTTTTGGAGGCTGCCATTCACGAGGAAAATTATCTATATAGGTCCATATTTTAATTGTATTCCGGAAAAAATTTCTGCAGAACATTTTCGATATATGTCCATGGTTTGAGGTGAAGCACACGTCCCCTTTTCGATAGGAGGTTGTTAAAGGTTTTAGCCACATGTTCGCAAGGAAGTGGGGATAATTTTGCATTCCCGAATTTGTTCGCATATATATCTAAGCGAACAAATTCCACTATAAGTCCATGTTTTGACACAGCCCTCATATGAATATCCCGCCCCATTTTTAGTATTTTGAAGGTTTTTGCTGCATTTTCGAACCAAAATGGCTGTAATTTGGTATACCGGGTTTTTGGAGGCTGGCATTCATTTATTTCATGTTTTGACATGGACTTTGTGTCAAGTTCGGAAGCGATTTTTGGCATATTGAAAGTAACTGTAATTTGGCCTTACGGTTTTTTTGAAGGACGAAAAATACGTCTGCAGAAAATTAAAATGAACACCCCCTCTTTCTTGCTACTTTGAAGATTTTTTTAGTCACATATTCGCAAAGAAGTGGCGATAATTTTATATTCCGACATTTTAGAGGAAATATACATATATAAAAAATATCTATATCCAAAATTTTATTGGAAAGTCTAAAAGTCGACGTCGACTTTTGATATTTGAGGAAATTGCAAAGTCGACATTTCAAGATCGACTTTCGATCTTCTTCATAAATACTTGGTTAATTATCTCAAAGCCCAAATTGCTCAAAAATTACACATTCTGGAATTTAATTTTATCTGTTGACAACAATTAATTTAAATAAATAAATTTTTAGTCGATTTTGCATTAGTCGGAAAAAGTCGAAACTCGATTTTGAACAGGTTTGACAAAATCGAATGATCGAAAAGTCGACTTTTTAGTGAAAAGCAAATATCGAAAAGTCAAATAGTCGACTTTTTGGTCGGCGGCAAAAATCGTAAATTCTAAAAGTAGACTTTTGGGCTCGTCTACGTATCCCTAGTTTTAACATAGTCTTTGAGTTATAGGAAGAAAAAGTTGTATATCATTGATTCCATCTGGTGCAGGTCATTGTTGAGATGTCATATCTACAGTTATATCGTATGAGGATTATTTTTATAAAAGCTATCGTCATTACATTTCGAGTCCTTGTGTGCCATTTTCGTCAATTTTTCTAGACCCATAAATTAATTTTGACATGCAAATATTCGACAAAAAATGTGGATCACATGATTTGAAATAATCGCTATTTGCCGTTTTTGCTTCGCCATTATTCACCATTACCAGATCCTTGGCTAGAAACCCCTATTTGATAGATATAAGGTTTACTGAGGAAGGATATACATATACAGAATCCCATATTTTCGAACCGGATTTTCAGATAAAAACCCCAATTGTTTTATCTGTTAAAAATGTCCCAAATAAAAATAAGAACTTGTTGCATTCGTTTTTGTTTATTCTCACATAAGAAGCCATTAGGCAGAAGGGCATTTTTTTTTGTTCATTGTACATTGCACGTGTGTATGTGAGTTTTTCTTTAATAAATTGACCCACATTGTGGAACACACACATACATATATATCTTAATTTTATGAATGAAATTTTGTGCAGAGCCCCAATCATGCGCATTTAGATAAACATTCTCTTTGGACACATTCAAGAGACTGGGTATTTTGGTTTTCTCATTTCACATCCTGTGGGAATCTATTAATTGGTGAACGAACAACTGTTGAACTGGTGAAAGCAACTGGGACAAGGTCCTTATAAACAAATTACATTTTACAATTTACTTTCAGTCTTTTGCGCGCTGTTTTCCTGCTAAGTTCAGAAATCGAAAACAATTAACCCACTGATATGAAAAAGAAGAATAAGGAACACCATCAAAAGTGAAAGTGTTGACTGTTTTAAAGTGGAAAGATAATAAAGAAATAATAATAATAATAATAAATTTGAATATGTTAAACTATATTTGAAAGAATATATTAAATTAATTTAAAGGTGTAAATATTGTATTTGTTTAAAATAAAAATTTAAAAACAAAATTTAAACAAATGATGTGGCGTTATGCTTTATTGTTATTAAAATGATTTTCCAAATTAAATTTTATGGCAAATGTAGTTTTAAATAATTTAAAAACGGAACTACAAAAATATATACAAATATCTGTTGGTGTTTGAAAAATTAAAAAAAGAAATTTTTATTCCATGTGAATTTTTAATTAAATTTTATAAAAAAAATAAACAAGAACGAAAATAATTATATTCTGTTTTATCTAGTTTTGTTACAAAAATAATGTCAAATAATTAATTAATAAAAAAAAATAAGTGAAAACGAACAAAAATAATAATAATATATAAATAATAGTTAAAAAGAAAAATCAAATTTAAAACTGCAAAATATAAAAATATATAAAACGACAAATATATAAAAATATATAAAATCATTAAATAAAAATTAAAGTATTTAAAAATTTATTTAAAAATAATAATGAAATATATAAAATAAAAAATATGGTATTTAAAACTAATATTAAAATATATAAAAGAATGAAATGAAATACATGAATTATATACCCCGGTACAGAACTTACAAGAATCATTTGTAAATGGAAATTTACAATTTTTCCTTTTAAATTTCAAAAGTTTTACAAGCTTTTGTGTATGTAAACAGTCTAATAAATAAGAGTAAATTAATATTTTGATAATATTTTTTAATTCTTAGCCACAACCACCACAAAAAAACATTAAAAATCCCTTGTCATAACGGATCTAAATTTTTATACTCGCACGACACTGTGGCACAGGGTCTTTGTGCATAGGTTTGTAACATGCAAAAGGAATAGCCTCATATTTACATTTGACGGAATATAAATAGAATTACTTTCGGAGTTGATTTATGAACGTCCTGGCGGACATTTCTGTCCATTAGTCTGTCTGTTTATGTACTATTGTAAAAAACGTTCTAGACGAGTTTATGATCCAAATGAGATGGAATTTGTTATTGGTCATTTGGTGAAAATCGGTTCATATTTTGATATAGCGTTCATATATGTTATTATCCGATTTCACAATACGCCACCAAAATTACAATATTTGTTAAATTCTAGAATTTTATGTAAATGGTGTATCAAAGACCCCTGGTTTCTTCAATTTGCATATCGTATAGAATTTAGTCTAGAATGCCCTGTCGTGAGATTTGTTTTAATCGGTTCAGATTTAGATATAGCTTCCATATATATTTTCGGCCATTTTCATATATTTTCATTGTTCGAGATTTTGTCTTTAAAGACCCAAAATAACATTTTCCCAGCCTCATTTTTTCATGCCTCATCGAAATATCGGATTTAGATTGATCCCACGTTTAGAAACATGCGCATGTTTTCTGCCTCATGCGGACGATAACTCTGAAATGGAGTGCACATATTTATATATTTCTGCTAAATTATTTAGGTAGAAAAAATGGGTAAAAAATTGTCAAATGAATTAATAATGTAAAAAATACTATTATTCGAATTTTAAAAATACTAATATTTTTACACAAAGCACTATGGGCCATGAATCCCAAATTAAATTTTGCCAAAAAGTAAATTTCAGGTAGAGACGAAAAAGAGTTATATATGTATTTCAAATCAGGGGACTTTGAGCTATAGACCCGAAAAATTGTAT